GAAAATTAGGCTGTGACCTAATGTCACACGCATATATAATTTAAAATAATACCTTTAATAACAATATAAGTATTAAGCACTTAAATTGTGGCTTTTTTCATTTTCTTCCTATTTTCGTATTTCGAAAAACCATGTTAAAAATAATACGTTAATGTAGATAAACATGTTTAAAAATGCAACATCCTCTTACATTTTTTAAAATCCTTTTAAATTAAATTTTCACAGTAAAAAAACTAGTGCATTTATTGTGAAAGTTATGCGTAATGTTATACACCGAAGAGCCATTACATTATGATCACCCTGCTAATAACATGTAGAACATGTAGGACCACCTTTATCCCTCAAAACTGCTAACACCCGCAGTGGCATTGATTCCACAAGATGGAAGGTGGTCATAATGTAATGGCTCTTTGGTGTATATTGTACCAGTAATACAATTTGTTTAATATAAAGCATTTCTTAACTGCTAAAATGGTAAAACTTCATAATTTTGGATATAACAGCAACCATAGTTTAAATTGGCGTGGAAATTGCAGGAAGAATCTTTGAAGGTGGATTGGAATGGGCAAACAGTTGGAATAATTTTAGGAGCAGTGAATTACGGGCATCTAATTGCTTATTTACCTGGAGGTAGATTAGCTGAGCTTTACGGTGGTAAACAAGTTCTCATATTCAGCATGTTATTAACAGCAATCGCTACACTGCTGTCACCAGTAACTGCTATCTGGAGCCCATATGCTTTTTTTATTACAAGACTTATTGCTGGAATCGGTACGGTAAGTTATATTTCGTTACTGATTTTATGCATAACATGCCATATCCCAGTAGCTAATTAACCAACCAGCGGCTTTAAAGATTCGCTCTCTTTTTTGGAGATTTTTCTTCTCGGTTTTAGTTGGTCCCAATTATAATACAAGCCTTTATTTTTTTTAAAAAAAATGTTACATAAACTAAAGAAAAAGTCAAGAATAAAAAATGTTTAGCATTTAATAAAATACCAAACTGGAGAGAGGGCTGTTAAATGCAGCTGGATTGGAAAATCGCTTCTCAGTAGCAGAACTTACAGTATCCATCTTCATCGCTATCTTCAAAAATTCAATTTGTCAGCGATTTCAGTGTAGCCAGGCAGGGATTTTTGCTGTAAAAATTGAGCTATATTGAAGCTCAAACTATATCATACATATATGAGCTATATCTATACATATATGAGCTATAACATATATGAGCTATATCTATACATATATGAGCTATATCTATACTTATATGAGCTATAACATATATGAGCTATAACATATATGAGCTATAACATATATGAGCTATATCAAAGCTAAATTGAGCTCAGGCATATATTTAACACAATTTACAAATATTAAATATAATAAAGTTATGCACAAGAACTTTAAGTTGTTTATATTTCATTTGAATTTTTTTGCTTTGCTTTTCAGATGTTTACACTAAGAACGATAAAAAAATCAGAAATTAAGCATAAACTTACAGCTAATAATAGTAAAATAAGATCTTTTTATTTTAAAGCAATAAATTAAAAGAAATATAATTTATGACCTTCTGATTTGTGCGTATTTAGAGTTTCTTTTAATGAAATTCACTATCGTACCTTTACAGGTACTTTGTAGACAAAGGAAACAATTACCCAAAATGTGAAAATTAAGTGGATTTTCAATACCAAGTTTTAAAAAAATAAATAAATATAATAATAAAAAGAAAATTATTTTATGTAATTGGAAAAATTATATGGCAATGTAATTCCAAAAAAAAAAATTTGACTAGTGAAGTTAGAAAAATCTTCACAAATCACAAATCCCTTGTCATGGATGCATAAAAATATCGCCCCCCTACTTTTTGCATTAACTTAGACTTTTACTACAGATAATAAAATTTGTCTTTTATAAAATTTTGGGTGGAATCAAATTCTGTGGCAGAAACTTTTGACTTCTGTAGCATTAAAGAACTTTTCTCAAAAAGAATTTCTTCCCCCAAAATTTAACTTTATAATTTAGATTTCATTTAAGGAATTTGTTGTTTTTTTAAAAAACAAATGCATTAAAATTTTTCTTGAACTACTTAAAGAAAAGTCATAAAAATGTTTATTTTTTTAAAGTTTTATGTATTCAAAAACTTGGCGCAAATACAATTCTATTCAACCGTAAAAAGTTTCGATCTCGTCCCTTTTTGTGGACGAAATAATTCTATAATGTATACTATAATAATGCGTAATTCTTGCCTTCTTTAAAGCTTCATACATCTTGTGGAATTTAATTTTATTACTTAAACAGTTAAGTATTCAAATAGCAATTTTCCAAGCCACAAACTATCAGGAAGATAATTTTTCGTTTACATTCAAAAGAAACATTTTACTTAATTAAGGCTTTAAACGCTTTCTACATCTTTCAATTTCCTTTGAGCTAAAAATAAATAAAAATTCTGAAATGCATAAAAACAACATTGAATTAAATTTAAGTTTTTACCTTTCACTAGGGTCCAACTTCACCTATTGTAAATTACATGTTGGGCAAATGGATTCCGGAACAAGAATCGAATTTTCAATTATCAATCATTCTATCGGGATATTCATTTGGATCGTTTTTCGCTTTGTCGTTTGCGGGAGCTCTATGTGGGTCGTCGTTCATGGGAGGATGGCCATCAGTATTCTACGTTGGCGGTATGTATAATAATTGAAATTTCCTACCTATAACGTTTTAATTTAAAATGACATGCAAGCAAAAATTGCATAAAATGGAGTACAATGTCATACAAGCATTAATTTGGTAGAATTCGTCTTCAATTTTTTTTTATGACTGTCATTGAACAGCCGACCCAATTTTTGGGTTTACGACTACTAATGTTCTACTCCGTAGCCTAATAATTTTGAACCCAATCCAGAAGACAAAGGAACTCCTGGATCAAGTATCGGGAGAAATTTGCCTTCGTGGAGGACTTTTTTGGTGGAACGATCCCGCATTTACGTTACATGGAGAGGAAGACCACGATAACCTCCCACTGTTAGCCTGATGGCAAGGGGACTCTAACCCATGATCCGTCTACCACTGAAGATATTTCATGTCAGCATTGTGGTCGGCGTAAGTCGGATGCGGAATTCGTATCGACCAGCCATCGCTGGAGTTCGAACACTGCTCACCTCATTGGAAGGTGAACGCTCTATCCCCTGAGCCATAGAATTCAAACAAATCGTGTGAAACCACAAAATTAGTTTATAAACATATTTGCGAATACATTCCAATCTCACAACTTTCAACAACTTGTACTGTACCTGCAGCTATAACTATACAGTTCTCTGCTATGGAGCTCGTCCCATTCTAATGTCACAATCATCTGATCATGTTCATAAAAGCATTTTTGACAAAGAATTGCTACGTCTGGAGCAAAATCATTTAATTAGTTTCGAAGCAAATCTTTTATATCATTCTAGCCTCGTAACTTTCATTAACACCTGCTGCAACAATCTGTGTAATTCTTTGGACAATAGTTCAAAATTACGTTTTTCATTAGTGACGAAGAATCGCTGGAACAGATTATTGTAAAATCGATACAATAGTTTAAAAACAAATTTGTTTTGTCATTCCAACCTCATAACTTTCAATATCTTATTCTGCAGCTGTCTGTACAATTCTCTGGTCTATTGCTTGTGCTTTACTTATGTCAGAATCACCAGAGGTTCATGGAAGTATTAGTGGAGAAGAATTGCAATATATTGTACAAAATCGTTGCTTGAAAAATAAAGAAAATGTGAGACACACTCTCCATACTTTATATAATCCACATTGAAAGAAAATTAAGCTTAGTGAAACTAATTTTATTTTCTTATCTTAGATAGCTAAAATACCATGGAAAGCCATCATGTTCTCATTACCATTTTGGGCCTTGGCTGTCGGTTACTTTGGACAATTTTGGTTATTAGGTTTCTTTTCTACTGTACAACCATTGTATATGGCAACTATTCTAAATATTTCAGTAGAAGAAGTAAGTTTCGGTAACATCCCAATATATGAACAACTTTACTTAACTGTTCAGTAACTTTACAGATCGACAGATGGCTAAACTTGTTGTTTTCACATTCTCTCCCCACCCCTTCCATTTTATAAATTTTTTTGGTTTACATATTATTTATTTTAAATTTATTATTTTATTTATAAAACATTATATGTTTCATGTACTTCTGTTTTGTACTGTTTAAAGTTTATTTTTATTAATTTTATATGTATTTTAATAATATTTATTGAGAAATAATTTTATACAAATTTTAGTGGAATTAGCTATCGATTCGTAAAGTAACTATGCAGTTAAGTAATATATTTTGCCTATTGGGACAGTACCTAAGCTTTAGTATGAAGAGTATTTTTGTAATTCTTATTTAAACTCAATAAAAATGTTGAATAAAAAAGGGTGCTTGATGTACATGAAAGAAAGAATATGTATTATCCAAGCTTAAAAGTCATTAACGCACCTTAATATTTGCATTCCATTTTCAATTATTTTTCTTTTTTTAAACTTTATAATTACTCTTCAATCACTCCTACAAATGAAATGATTAAATAAATGTATTGAACACCTTTCGATTCAAATTATTTAAAATTTTTTAAAAATTCAAAAGCTTAAGAAAAAGTGCAGCAACATAACTTTATAATTGTTTCATTTTTCTTTTTAATTTTGCTTGACCATCAGAAATTGTTTTCTTATAATAAACTTCGCAATTTCCATTTTTTTAAATTACTATCTTCATTTGTTAGAAAAAGTTGAAAAGTTTATATACTTATATACCCTACTAATTGTTAAATTATTTGTTATTTCACTTAATTTGTGAAATATTTTCCTATTTCTTTGATTTTGGATAATAATTTTTATTTGATTCTTTTACTTTTAATTCCGTTGTTTTTTAAAACATTAAAAAAATAATAATATAAAGTTTTTGTAACAATACTTTATAGGTGGAGTAACTCTTGAAACTTGGAAAAATTTATAAAATATATAAAATGGTTATAAGAATATAAGGTAATATTATTTTAAATTACTTAGAATGGAATTTTATCAAGCCTTCCACATCTGTTAAGATCATTTGCTGCAATCATGGCGAGTTTTCTAGTTGACTTTATTTTAGCGAAAAAATTTGTAAGTACTGGATTCGTTAGAAAAGGAGCTACAATTTTAAGTAAGTTAAATGATATTTCAAAAATAGTCATTTTTTTCTTTAAAAAATATGATGCGAATATTTTTGGATTATTGTAAAATGAATTCATTTAAATATGAATACACATAATTACTATATTTCTATATGATTACTGAAAAAGTGTAATTAGCACGTCGAATGCCACGCTAATTTTACATGGCTTGCCCGTCTGTCCAAAATGATTTTCTCAGCATGTATTGCATTAGTTAACATTAGTAACGATAGTAAAAATTAAAAGCATTAAAAATTTACTCGAAATTTCCTAAACTGCTTGGTTCACAATTTCGCAGACATACTTAAATGCAGCTCAGACACATTCTGTGTAACACCTATGCATGGAAACGTCGTCGTATTCGGTTAGGGGCGCCATTATGACCTGTTCAAAAAAACACGAAGAAACCGTTTATAATATGGAAGCACCCCTTGTCTAGTGGAAAAACATTTCTGGGTATTTCCGGCCATTTAAATCCTAATGATGCGGTTTAATTCTCGTCGCAACATTTATGCAACACGCTGTTATATGTAGATCTTTTAAAGTCCTCCATAAATTGACTAGAAATATCATTTGAAAAAATCTGCAGCTTGGAGAGAGAAACAGAATGCAATACGAAAGTATTCACTTTCCGACAAAAAATCTCAAACAACCAAAAAAAATTTTTTTCCCAGTGTAGTTAATTACAATAAAATATAAACTTAGTTTTACCATAAATTAATGATTTTCTCTCCTGAATGACTTTCACTCTCATAGCAGGGTAAAAAACTTACAAATTGGTAAAAAGATGAAATTAAAAAAAAAAAAAAAATGAGAGAATTCCTGAATGGCTTTTACGGGTCTTAAAATATTTTAATATTGGTCAAGAAATCATAAAAATATTGCAAAGATTTTCTTTAGGTAGCTTTTTAACGTTTAGTGACTATTTGCTGGCCATTAATATTTTATACACTAACGCTAGGAGATAAGGTTACTTCAAACATTGAAGCTGATGGGGGAAAAAACATTTGACAGTAAAAAACATATCAAAGATAAATGTCTGCAAGAAACAGGGGTTGGGCAAACATATGGAAACAGTTGGCACAATTTCAAAGATCATGCTTGAAGCTTTTAGAAATGGTGTCCTTTTTACCCATGTAAAATTTGCATCGACCAAAATGAGAGTAGGAAGTTAAAAGCATTTTGCCTTTTTCTATACCACTAGAATTAAAAAAGCATTCTAATTCAAATCGCTCAATCTTATAGAATAATTTCATAATTGCTGGTATTTGAAATAGAAAGAAGTTATTAATCTCCTCTCCTCATTTTGGCTGAACCGAATTTTGCATGAGTGAAAATTACACCATTTTTGAAAGCTAAAAGCATGATCTTGTAAATTGTGACAACAGCTTTGCCATGCAATATCTTCCAAAGCAATTGCTGCTAAAAGAAAAATTATTTATGTGGAGTTAGTATAGGAGGTCTTCCATTTTTTTGTCCGACTCCAGTAGAAATTTCGTGCAGATACAGATTGGATACAACGATGTTTGTGAAACTGGCTAAACATTTTAACAGTTTACGTTATATACGCACTAAAGTTTAAATAACAGGTTAATGCTAAATATTTAATCTTATTTGTAAACAAAATGAGATTAAATATGGCAGTATAACAACTATTTTAAGAGCCTGGTTAAAATTAATGATTATCTACATCTTAATAATGTTATGTTAGTCAATGTTAGAATTACGTTCGAGAAACAAGTTGATATATCATATTTGCAGTTGCAAAGCACAGTTTAAGACAAAATTAAGAAAAACGTTATTGATAGAGTTGTTAATTTAAATTTAGATTCGAAAATCAATAATAGTGGATTAGAGATATTACAGTATCGTTTTTTCCAAATTTAATCCGATTAAAAAAAATAATTTTCCCAATTGAATTGAATTGTTTTCCCATTACTAAAAGCTGTGCAGCTACATTGTACACATAGTCCTTCATGTTACAAAATAAAAAATGCTATAAAAATTAGCAGTCCATCAGTTGTGAACTGAATCATATAGAAGTTTACGTTAAGTTTTGAGACCTGTTAAGAAACCCTTCCCGGATTTTGATCCCTTAGGAATAAATGAATCAACTGTCGTTTGCATCATTCCTATTGGATGATTCATATTCTCATCCCAATAATTGTTTCTGTACCCTAATGGTTGTTATCTGCTGGTTAATTATTGATGGATTTCTAGTGGATTGGTGTGAAGTGAAGTCAGCTTAGACATCTCTATAGATTCTTTCTTCATAGTTGGTCCGCAGTCATCACCAGGTTGCTACAGAAGAAGGGGGAACCAGGGTGGTTGGCGATTTTAAAACAAATAAAATTCGAAACTTCGCAACAATTTCACTTATTATTTATTTGCGAATTTTAAAATCTTGATACATAGAAAATATTTATTAATTAAAGTTATTTTAGAAAAATTTCAGTGCTGTTAGTTTTTGTTCTTGAAATTTTTCTGTTCTTATTTTCAGACTCAGTTGCTGCTTGTGCGGCATTTTTTGGTATTACTTTTGTTGGAAATAATGTTTTAGCCACAACTGTTTTATTCATACTAGCTGGTCTGTTTGGAGAGTTTATATCATTTGGAGTGTGTATTGCTTGTATCGATATAGCACCGAATCTATCAGGTAAATTCGTTCTACATATTTTGAATTTATATTTAGAACTCAATCTTTTGGTGGAACGTAAATTAACTAATGGTTTATTAGTATTCATCGATCTTACAATGCATTTAAATTATTTTCTGGGTCGGGATTGTCCTAAAATTTCATGACGATGCTTTTTTAAAATGAAATGTAAAAAACAAAAATATTTACAGATTTGTCTATATCTGAGAGAATTGCTAGACAGTTTACTACATCAACTAATAAAAGCTTAAAGGATATTTGTTAAAAAAAACTATTTTTTCATTTTCAATTAGTAGCTAATGTTGGAGAATTAAAAAGTCAGCACACTGACCGTAGCCAGTGATGCTGGACTTTGGTGATCTGCTGGGAAAAGTGTCTTAACGATCAGTCCACTGCGGGACGATTACAGGATTGAAGTTATGCTCTAGAGCAGGAATTACCAATTTTTTCTATTTTTTTTACCTGAAAGCACGTTCTAGAATACCGGTCAGATTTATTTTCTAAGCTGAATGTCCGAGGGGTCAGAAATCGGAATTCGCACTTTTACATGGTCTTTTTTTTGAATTTTTCTTTTATTCTGGTTGCTCAAAGGAAGATGCGCGTAAAGCGATCGTCGAGTGCTATCAAGAGAGCTATTTCTCTTGAAGTTAGGGTAAAAAATTAGGTAATTGTATTACTGCGCTTTTACTTTATTTCAATTCTTTTAAAAATTACATAATATTGTCTTTATGGTCTGATGTTGTCTTTTCTCGCCCCTTTTTTCTAACCTTCTTGCAAGATCCCTTTTATACTATCTTTTTTGAAATTTTATCAGCACATAAAGCACAATTGTTGATAAAGAGAATTTAAACGAAAATAATTTGAAATAAACCATAAAGTACTAGTGATTTAAAAAAAACATTCTTTTTTAAATCTGTAATATATTTTTCTGGTCCTGAAATAAGTATTTTTTCTTTCTTTTAGGTACTGTAAGTGGAATAATAAATATTTTTGGTATGTTCCCGTTCTTTATAATACCTGCTTTGGTAGCATGGATTACTAATTACGAGGTAATTTAAATTAATTATTTTAGCATTTCTTAAAAAGTTCCTTAAAATATTTATTTAAAAAATTAAATTCGCGGCCTGTCCGGTCATTAAGCAATTGTAGAAAAATTCAAAAAAACTAAAATTTGCTTTAAGTTTGTATTCACCACAATGCAAAGGTTCAAAAACAAAATAATCGTGACTTTTCATAAAGCCCATTCATTAAACAAAAGATAAAGAACCAAAACGATGGTGTGTGTGTATAATACAATTAATAAATAATCTACGATTTTCGTTCCGCGAAGCAATTATAAAAAATATCTTTAAAAAAAATGATAATAATATTATATGGTTGATATGATGGTTGTTACATATGTGTCTTCCATGCGATGAAATACCGTTCGTACAATGCCTCGGCATAATGAGTATCAAATTATCGAGCTAATCTTAGGGAAGAATACTCCACATAGCAAGCAATGCTCTTCGAAGTTTCGGTACTCGCGTAGGAGGTGGTTGTCAGGCTGCAACTCGTCGGCCACGCATGTCTCACACAAGCTATGGTTCAAGTCAGGTGAAATGCTAAGCATTCCATGAGGATGATATCCTTAGATATTGATGTTATCCACATCCATAAACTCAAATTCTGTGCTCATATACTCCTAAACAAACGTACATGTTATTCCAGAATGATGTTAGGATAAATTTGGCCTGTCATGATCTGATTTGAGCATGCAAATTTGTACAGGAGCCCAGTATAATTCAATCCCAAATAATCAATCCTGTACCATCGTAAGAGTATTGTTCAAAGATGTCGTCGTGGTAACGGATATCTTTCATTCCCCATATAAAATTCCAACGTGTCTCAAACAGCAAGCTAAACTTAGACTCGTCGAAAAACATCACACAAGCCCACTTGAACGATACCCATATTGCAAGTTCTCTACTCCAGGCTAATCGCTGGCAACAGTGAGTTTCTGTGAGCGGAACGCATCTGACTGGACTGAGAGCATATAGACAAATATTCCACGGATTGCCTTGAAACTGTTGTACCCGTGGCTGCAGATAACTGACGAGACAGGTCGGATGCTGTACTCCGCCTGCTTCTTTTGGCAATTACTACCAAATACCGTTTTTTATACGGCATTGTTCTTAGACTAGATCAGGATCAAAAAAACTCTTTGAGACTTTTATCCCAAATTCGATGATTTCCAACGGTTTTTGAGCCAATTTTTAAGATACAATTTCTACAACGAATGTGATATTGAGAAATATGAATAAGTATTTAAAAAGAAATGATAATTAAAAGATCCACTAAAAGAGATTTTTGTTTGAGACAGTAGACACTGTAAATTGAAAATGTGTCAAGAATTACTCAGTCGACCTAAATTTACTTAGGCTTTTTGCAATAATCATTTGTCCTCAGCCGAGGCTTTGATTAGAGAAGTATCCTGAATCAACTTTATCAATTATTAAGATCAGATTTATTATTAGTTAATAAAGAACATGGAAGAAAATTGCAATAAGGCTGACTACGTATTAGTTTCATCCCATGAATGGAAATAGCAAAAGGGATTAAATGTTGCTGGACTTTGCAACAAATAAATTTTAAACATCCAGTTTCACAGATAAAATACATGCATCACAATGTAAAATAAGTAATTTAAAAAACTGCCATCAGCGCTGTTTTTTTAAACGACCAATCATTTTTGAACCTGCTTCTTTTTATTTCAGGAATCCTATGAGGCATGGCAATGTGTATTTTATATTTCAATTTTTGTCGTAGCCATATGTACAGGATTTTTTACATTATTCGGCAATTTAAATCCCCAACCATGGGGTACCGCAACAATCGATGAGCATGCAAACAATAATCGTCGGACGTCAGACCAAGTAACAGAAGTGAAGAGAAGACGGCGACCAACAGTATCTTAGGATGAGTAAAAAAAAAAAAACTTTTGATGTCAATAACTTAACACAAATAGTTTTAATAAATTTACGTCATACTGACTTGATGCTTAGATACTGATTTGATGACTTATTTTACAGGGTTTCCCCTCCCCACTCAATTTTAGTCCAAACAGAAAAATTCCTTGACTTATATAGTTTTCTCAAGGAAATTTCAAATAAATTCTATCAGCTCAGTACCCAGTCTAGAAATTAATTTCCACTCTCCAACTGATGGAAAAGTGCACGAAACTTTTACTATAGTAAAAGTTGGCAATATTTATATTTGAATTACTCTGATTAAGAATTCTTTATTGTTGTCCTTTTGAAATGTTGATTGTTCGATCTTACATTCTAATTTGATTTGCAAATACTTTTAAAACACAATACAGTGAAATTTGAACGAGAAACAATTGTAGCAGATGCAAAAACACTTCTTTTTTTGTTTGGAATTCACAGTGCTGTATATGTTTCTAAGATGGGTAATTTTCCTAGGTTTATTAAATTTTTCTTTGTTTTAGAGAGGAAATGCAATATTCCTAAACTTTTTCTTTCGGCAAAAATAGTATCTTAGACAATATTAGGTTCAAGATCTTCCTCGCTCGCCAGTTTTATAACTTGCGTGAAAAATGAACCAGCATAATTAATAGTGTTTTAATTTTATGAGGGAAAGGGCTTGGAGAAATATAGCAACAAGTCACTTTCTTCGAAAATCTGATTTTTCTTACTTTTGGTATTGTTTCCAGATAGGTACTTTAGACGTATCTTGAATTACCATTAGCTGTTATCACAGACAAAGAAAAAAAACACGGGGATTTTTTCTTCTTTTTTACTCGAGCTTTAATAAACAGTCTCAAAACATGGTTTATCATGATATTGATCACTCATCCATTATTTATGTTAGATTTGCAGCCGCTGGTGAAAACTAAATTTTCAGCGAAAACAATCGAAAAAATTTTAACCAGTTAATGAAAAACCAAATCATATAATATCTTTTCAATGATCAGCTCACAATTTAAACGTCAACCTATTATATTGGGCGCTTCAACTAAATTTAATGGCATAAATAGCTATTATTGTTACTTTAAAAAAACTCAATGCCGCCTATTCTAACATTTTTAAAAAGAAATTTAAATTAGTTTAACGACATATTTGACGGACAAAAAGGTTTTAAACAAGTAACGCCCACCTTGCCTGAACTTGAAGTTAAGCTCGCCAACCGCTTTTATTTTAATCTAAGTTAGGAAGATATTTTTTTTTCTTTCTGTTTAGTACTTTTCCAAGTGTACACATATAAAGAAGCACACATATATATACATGCTTATATGTAAGTATTTAAAGCATTTAGACGTATCCAAGCTTGGAAAATGTTTTTAATAAAGCAATCTGTATTTTAAAATCAACTATGTCGAAATACAGATTTCCTATTATTTTTTCCACAGAGGACTTTTTTACGTCGAATAAAATATTGGAGGAAATAAATTTGTCTAAAATTAAACTTACAAACTATACATCCTATGATATGATTAGACTTGAATTTGCTTACTCAAGCCTATGAAAATAAATAAAATTAAATTGTTGGTAAAATAAGGAGTATAAATCTACGAGAGAATACTACACAGAAAAAAATGGTCGGACATCCCAGAAAAAGATGGGTAGAGGGTGATTTAAAAAAGGTGAAAATCAAAAATCAGAAAATAAAGGTCAAGGATTTCATGGTCTGTAGGAACCGAGGAGTAAATAAGTTAATAAAATTCAGTTTTAAACACAGAGCAGAAGTATACATTATTAAGTTTCAGAGAGTCTTAAGTTGGTGCTTAACCCCTTTCCCTGTAGAGGAAGAGCAAATGCAATATTTTGTAGGGGTGAGAAAATTGCCTTTATAAAATAAATGACAGGAACTCCTTGCTTAAAATATACATCTTCTATCATTAGATATAACTTTTATACACAGGGTGTTTAGAAAATGTTGTGATAAACATCTAGGGGAAGTAGAGAACATCATAACGATTCAGAATTACCTAGAAAACCACAACCGGAAATGTTATCGTATGCCGCTACGAACGCTTTTGTGTTATGAACTGTTACATCGTGTGCCTTTGAACATCAGGTACTTTTATTTATCTAAATTATCTTAATTTTTTGTTTTCTATTAATTATCTCCAAAAAACTGCTTTCAAATAGGCACAGTATTAGCTGTTAATAGTAACATAGAGCCGGTGTCTCAGGAGATAGGTTACAGGGTTACAGGTGAACGGTCCGATGAGGTGAACAGGGTTTAAATCCTAACGATGGCTGGTTGATTTGAATTCCGCATTCGGCTAACACCGACCACAGTGCTGACGTAAAACATCCTCTGTGATAGACGTATCATGGGTTACAGTCTTTTTGCCGTCGAGCTAACCGTGAGAGGGTTTCATGGATTTCTCTCCATGTAACGCAAATGCGGGTTAGTTCCATAGGAAAATATTCCACGAAGGTAAATTTCTCCCAATACTTGATCCAAGAGTTCCCTTGTCTTCTGGATTGGGTTCTAAACTATAAGGCTACGGAGTTGAGCATTGGTATCCGTGAACTCAAAATTGGGTCAGCTGTTCAACGACGGTTATAAAATACAAAATAAAATAACAGTGACATAAAATTTATATGAAATTAAAATATTTTAGAAAAATAAAAGTGCAAATTCAAAGGCACACGAATAACATGTCCATAATGGGAAAGCGCCCCCAGCAGCGTAAGATGACATTTCCGGTCATGATTTCCTAGGTAATTCTTAATACTTATGATGTGCCCTGCTTCCCCTAGAAGTTAGTCGAGACAGTTACGGGACACCCTGCATAATAATAGCCAGCAAATTTTTCCACTTCCATATTAAGGTATTTATATTTATAACATATTGTAGACAGCACCAAAATGTATTAAAATTTCCAAATAAATGTTAAATAGTAAATATTTAAGTTACCACAACATATTTTTTTTCTTTTTCTTTTTTTAAACTTGACATGGAGATTACAAAAACTGCAGCAGTATTTACCATACTGCTCATATTACAGAAATTATTATGCGTGGATAGTGAAATTAACTGATAAACCAGTCCCTAAAATATTTGTTTCTCAAACGATGTAAAAACGACACATTACGGGCAATAATTGTGCTGATTATTTATAATTTAAATACTTTAATAAAAACACCGTATACAGAAATATTATATATATATATATATTTTTTTAAAGAAAAAGCGTTAGTAAAAGTCTGCAAACCACGACTAATGTTTACTGTATTAAAAGAAAAAGAGTATTTATAAGAGTATTTCGTGGATTTATTGTAAGATTGTGTCATTCATAGCATAGCGCAAACAATTTTAAAGAAGGAAAAAAAATGATGACGGTTTTTGCACAGTTATTGAAAAATTTTATCACGAGAAATAATATAATTTTACAGTTTATAAAGGTAATTTTTATTTTTAAATTATATATTGCAATGTTAGTTGTAACGCAAAAGATAACAATACTTGTCCATAATTGTTTTTAATTTAATCAATTTTTTAAACAAAGATGGCACGCAACAGAAAGGATTGCACAATGGGTAACGTGTGTACAGTCAATTATAAACAATTTTGTGGTTCCAATAGCTTATTTTAATGACTAAGAAGGTCGAAATTCTAGACTTTAATAAGACTGTATACATGCAACAAAGTTTATAAGCACGCAAAAAGATGACGTCAAGCATTTAGGAAATTTCGATTCGTTTAATTAATAGCAAGGCAAGTTTACAGCAAACTAAATCATCAGAGACTTTTAAGGTACATAGTATTTTTATTAGATATATAGAGTTACCATTCAAAAATGCTCTTTATCAAACAAATATTATCAATTTCTATCGCATCGATCGCCATTTTGTTATCAGAAGGAGCTAAAAATGATTCAAAAATTAAATCGGATTGTGTCAAGGAGCTCATAGAGTGGTGTGAAAATACGCAAACTTTCAGTATTGGAATAGGATTGGCAAGTTTCGCATCTACAGCACTTGGTACATCTGGCACTGATTTACAAAGTTCTCATTGTACGACTGGTACTGGTGGTACACGATGTTTCAAAAATTTGTCCCCATGGTTCTCTTGTTCTAAAGATAAGGAACTTACTTACCGGGGAACGGTACTTCATTCCGACTCCGAAGATGGTACTGATGACGAAATATGCGACGCAGCTAGGAAAATGGGTAAAGTTCCTTCACCGGGGGTGAAGCTGACTGATGGTTACAGCAAAGGCATGAAAGATTTCAATGATGCTATGTCGAAACTTCGACAAAATATGGATAATTTTCAGAAAAGTATCTTTTTAAGTTGTTTTCCGTTTTGCGCTAATGATGAATCTTCTCACGAGTTGTACGATGGCAAATATTTTGTATCAGTATAATAACTATACGAATTTCACTATTCATATATGATAATTAAAATGTTTTAGAATAATTCCCCTGTTAATTACTAACTAGAAGTAAAATAAGCAAAATTAAATTTTCCAAGGAGTTACGTTTAGAAATGCGTAACTTGCAGTTTGTTCCATTTTCTTTTAATCTTCCGAGTGCTTGATCCAGAATTTCTCGTCATTTAATATTATTGCTTTTTTATTTAGCTAGCTAAACATTTTTTTAATGTAATTAAGGATTTATTCTATTCTAGCGATGAAGAATATTAGTATATTTTGAAGAAAAAACTTTTTTTAGCAAGAGAATAAAATAAATCAAATTCTTGAAAAACAGTTCTCTATTAAAAAATTAATGAGCCATAAAAATTAATTTTTTAAGGCGATTCAAAGTAAAAAAGAGTTTTAATCGCTTTATTTTTTATTTAGTTCTTTTTTTTGAATGACTTACGGCTAATCTAAAAACATTTGCGGTTTTTAAGTAAGGATAAAAAGCAAGTTTTTTCCATTATATACGTGAAATCAATAGTTGTACAAAGAGGATTTTTAATACACTAATTTTTGCAAAAATTCATTGAAAACTAATAAGTACGTCAGAAAATTCTTAATAACAAAACAATGAAATGTAATAAAAATAAGTAATATCCAACGTATTTGTTGTAAGGAATGCAATTTTAAATATTCAGTTGATAAGTAAAGACAGATGAAGAAAATTTGCTCCGAGTTTTAAGTTCTATCAAAGTGATCAATGTAATCAGAGAAAAAGGCATATAAAGTTTCCAAAATACACACAGTGCATTAAGAGTGGTCCGTAAAAATTCTCAATTTGAGTACTTAGATATTTTTTAAGGCATTGAATGTATTATTTTAAGGTATTAGAGCACCTTTGAAAAAATTCTTAATGACTTAACTCTAGTTGAGAAAGTAACAGTGGCATAAATGTAAGTTTTTTTAAATGTGTTTTAAAAATTTTAAATGGGCCTTCAATTTCTTAACATATTATAAAAATTAAAGTAGAGACACTGCTTGTTTTGGTTAAGTAGTTATCGAGGGATTTTACGCAAGCTATTTTTAAATTATTTTTTTTATGCAACTTGCACAGTTTACGCATAAATGTTCTATTGATTCAATTTTCTATTTATCAATCAATGAATAAAATTTTTACACACACAATTAATTTATTTCGCACAGTTTACGCATAAATGTTCTATTGATTCAATTTTCTATTTATCAATCAATGAATAAAATTTTCAAAAACTTAGTTTAATTTTCTTTTCAAGAAAAATATAAATACTTAAAAAAACATATTTTTTAAAATTATTAAAAAATGATTCTTTTAATTTTAAATTTTTAGGAAATTAACAAATGTTTAAATTTCTTTGAAGTATCGAGTTACATTTAACGAGATAGACACTTAGGGCTACACATTTCGAAAATGGAAAGTACAATTTTAGTGGTTGGGAAAAAAAACCCATTTACTTCACACACAATTGAAATCAAAGATTTATTTTTCAATTATAAAGCAAAAGAAATTTTCTGTTTATAAGTAACAGGCTTTTCTTCTGTTTTCTCAGAATTATTCATTTCATTCTAAAAAAACCTTTTTAAAATTCAATTTAGAAAACTTTAAATTAGAAAGATTTTATTTGTATAGAATTTTTAGAAAGAATTTAGAAATTTGTTTAGATGATTGTATGCGAGTTTTTCTTTATGCCTTAAAATTGCATTCAAGTCATCTCAGTTGCTTATGCCCCTAGAAAGTGATGCATATTGGGATAAATTTAATGCTGATTCCATCGTAGACCTTTTTTGTGAAAATCAAATCCTGTTTAAAACAAAACTTGAAACAGTGTTTACAATTGGATATTCTAAGAAATTTCTGAAGATATAAGAGAAAAATAACTGAGTCAGTCTAAATGAAAGTAGAATACTGCTTAGGTGCAATCAGCCAAACAATATAGTATTTTTAATAAGTTTTTAAAAATCCAATTTGTTTTTATAAACAATTTCTCACAATTCGTTTGCCTTATGGTACCCACATTAAGGCTACTGATGGTATTCACGAGGAAATTCTCAAAAGGGGACTAAACCATTTTATCTTTTTCTTTTTACATTAAAAGTGATTTGCTCCTGTTTGGTTTTTACTGGAGAGGTTTCAGTTAGATATGGTTTGAGCTCAGAATATTTCTTAAAAATCTGTTTAGTTTATATTCTGCAATTTTGTAACTTATCATGTTTCTGACCCGTTTAATAGTATGTTCCGTACCATTGAGTAAAAAATATAAATTTCAGACTTTAGTATTTAATTATTTCATCGCCAAACTTTTGGAGCAATATTTTGCTTTTGAAATTTTTGCTCTTATCTTTGCATCTGCTCCTCCCGTCTAATTAACTGTTGTGCCAAGAAAAGTACATTTCTTACGTCTTCTATTTCGCCACTTTCAATTCGATTTCAACAGTGAGTCTCATAATTTATTTTTTCACTTTTGGCTTTATATTTATTTATTTGTGATCCAACATTTCTTGCATAGTTTTCAAAAATTTTTGTCATGAATTGCTGATCTTCATATTTGTTGGCAAATAAAACATCATGAGCTAAAATCTTCTAATGTTCTAGTAAAGCTCTATCTTATTTCTCTTTACTGAAAACTTTTTATTTTGTTCTGTAAAACTTAAATGGTTCAGTTTTATCTTATTCCTCCCCCCCCCCAAAAGAAAAATTCTTAAAAAAAAAATTTTTTTTTGCCACATTCATGGCAAGACATCAACTTATTTATTATTGAAAAGACCTTTATTCTGAAAGAATATAATGCACACCAAGTCAAATATTTTTTTATCTTACAGTTCAATACAAATCAAAACATTTTGCTATGCACCAAATTTATTTTGAATTGAAGAGTTTTAGGAAATATATTGATTAACGAAATTTTTAAAATTAACTACCTCTTAGTACTATTTCCAGATAGGCACTTTACAAGTTTCCAGACTAGAAAATTACATTAGAGCCTAATACTCAGAAAAGTCATATAGTCTACATAAAAATTATGTTTTTCATCAAAAATGCTCTCCTGACACAGTTGAAAATATAGGTTATCATCACATTTCCCCAACTTTTCAACTAGTAAATCCTTAAAGAGTACCAAAGTCATTAATTTTTTAACGACAACATCAGTTCATTTAATCCTTTAAAACCTAATGCAATTTGAAAGTACTTATTTTTTCTTTTATAAATAGCTTAAAACGTAAAAAGTAGCAGGAAAATTAATCAGTTATAAACATCAATCTAAGAAATTAAATATAAATCTAATAATGTATTCTAGTATGCATGGATTAAAATCTAATGTTATGTTTGTAATGCACATTTTAAATATTAAAATATAGCTTTTAGAGATGAAAATTTTTACTCATTTTAAAATGAATATATTACTCCTAGGCACACATTTGGTTAATATGTTATCAGCACAATCATGCATGTTCGGTATTAACATTTTGCTTATGGCTGGCACAACATGTGGTCTGCCTGTGATGGTACAACATGGAACACCATAAGAAAAGGGTTAATTTAACTTTTTACTTATGGTGCTTAGTATAATGAAGCCACTCTGGTCTACTTATTGTACCTGCCGTAAGCAAAAGGGTTAACATGATATTAAAAAACGTTCCAAAAACCGGAGTTCTAAAAGGACACATTTGTGATAGAAATATTGTAGAATATAAATTTAATCAATTAGGTGAAATATAAAATAAATTAAAAACATTAATCCATAAAATTAAATTTATTATCTATTTACATAAATAAAACTGGAAAACAAGAACAAAACTAATCAGGACAATTTTTTCAACAAGACATTAATATATTCTTTTAAGAAAATTCCAAGTATAGGATTAAAAGACATCCTTTGAAGGGGTCTAAAATTAACCATAAGTTTATCTGGATTCAAATGACTAATATAAGATTCATACAAAAACAAAAATGGTTTGATTTTTTGTTCAGTAAGATTTAAAGCATTTTGCTTTGCAACAATCTCTGAAATTAATTTTTCTTGAACTAATGGATCACTCGATGGTAAGGAAGCAATGTGTATATGACCTCGACCAAGCCAGGTATTTTTTGACACTATACATTCAGCACATAAAACTAATTTATGGTCACAGTTAAATTTCTGAAATTGGTCCAATAAGGAATCTTTATTAGAAACATTGTCTTCTTTTGTATCAGATGTATTTTTTTTCCGACGATTTTTTAAGTGTGGCATAGCTTCATCACGGGAAATTCTGAGCTGGATCTTATCTAACCATTCTCTTCTTTGCTGAGCAACTAGTGCATCCTGCATGTTCAATAAACTGATAATTTCTTCCATTCTAAGAACGCGACAATCAAATAGTAGCACTTTTTGTAAAATATTGAGTATATCTTGAGCAGTTGACAAAACATTTTCATCAGTCGGTTTAATGTCAGTATTGGAAACTAAAGGTAGATCAAAAGAGACAGTCTTTTCATTGCTAATTTTGTGAATTGAATATTCTTTTGGTTTATCTAAAATTGTAATTAAGTCAAGTGGATTTGAAATAGAGTCATTATAATTTTGAAATAGTTTACCGACTTGAATTAACTCTGTGAAAAATTTTTTGCAATGTTTGTAATCAACCAGTTCTGCAACATTGTGAGAAAGACACAGTGGGTCCTGAATACATATTGAATTCATCTGAAAAGAATAATAATCTATATTATAATTTGTAAAACACTGAGAGACAAATTTCTGCATCAGAAAATGATGCTTTCAAAATATAAATCACTGGATATCATTATTTAAATAAGATAATGAGTTAAGTCTCCTAACAAAAATGATTCTAAATGAGCTGGAATGTAAATTCTTTATAGGTATAAGTCATAGAAATTTAACTTACCAAAGAAAATAAAAGTAATTAAAGAACTAAACTTCTGTTGCAGATTAAAAAAAAATGTACAACAGAAGAAATTTAAAATTTAAAGAACCACAAATTAATGGTCCAATTGAATAATCAAAAACCATATCAATAGTCACAAAGGTTATCTATGTTTACACAAGGAGAAAAAAAGACTGCATTAAAAACAGGCTAAATGTCCAAAAATAAGATTTCTTGATAAAGAAAAACATTGATTTTTCAAAACCTTTTGTAAATATATTATCAGTTAATTTATTACCAATCCTATTGGCCTACAAAAATAACTGGCATGTACACGCAACAAGGTGCCTGCTAAATCTATCATGGTTAAAAGTACTCTTGTTGTTTGTGGTGTGGAACTTTGGAGAGAGGGGTACCAGCTCAGGTACTGTCCATGTCATCTGCCTTGAGTCAAAATTACCTGACATTTCTACCATGGCTGTTACAAGATAGAACTCTAAAAATGGGCCTAGATATAGCCATGGTTGGGTGATGATGATGGGCTAACATGGCAGAAGCAATGTTATGGTTTGGGGAGTTTTACAAATGAAAAATTTTCATTTATTCAGAATGGATGACATTACAAATCCCTTCTTATATTGGTATATTTTCTAAAACAATCTTCTTACATATGCAGATAAAAAACATAGAAAGACAAAGATTTGAAACACACTTCAAATACCGAGAAAGAATAGTTTACATATAACAATATTAATATTTTTTATTGGAGCAGAACTATTGCTTTCAGTAAGAAAACTTGAAAATACAAATAAAGTCATCAGTCTAATGTTTGCTCCCAGAATGAGATCAAATTCTAGCTGCAGATATCAATAACCTTACTGAGTCTATCTATGTTTCTGATTTCTTTAAAAGACATGGCTATGAAGTATTAATAGTATTATATCTTTTTTAAGTTATACTAAATTTTCTATGAGTATTTGACTTTGTATTGACTATTTTCTATGTGTATTTGAACACAAAAAAAAATTGTAGATCATTTAAGTTCTTGTGTTTATAAATCTTTCTAAATATGATAATTAATTAACAACAATGTGTTGTTATTACAGATTAGCTATAATAAAAAATAAAATAAAGATGATTATTTTTTCCACTTTTTACACTTAAAATAAAGAATAAATGTTAACATCTCAATACATAATAAAAAATATAGGTCAATCACCAGACTTTGAAGTGAATAAATCAATTATGATTTGCAATGTTAAAAACATGATATACAAATTGTTCTTACACGAAAACGCTTGTTTTCTTCTTTAGAAAAGAAGTCATCTCTGGGAACAGCAGTTGCCGTCATTGGGCAAATAACTCGAGTAAAATCAAAGTACAGGTAAAAGAAAAAGAACTCTTTTAACAAGTCATCTGGAAATTAAAAATAAATAAAATTTAAAATATGATACATCAGCTGTCATAATGTAAATACACATAAAATGTGTATTTACATAATTTGTGTATACATAATATGTATTTACATAAAATGTCTATTTACATAAAATACATTTAAAATAAAATTTTAAAACATGTAACAAATATATGCAAATCTAATACAATTTCAATAAAATCTTAATCAGTGTAATTCAAATATAAATACTGCCAACTTTTAAAATAGTAAAAGTTTCATGCACTTTTCTGTCCGTTAGAGGGTGGAAACTAATTTCTAGAAAATAATTGACTTGTAGAATTTGCTATAAAATTTTAGAATAAAATTATTAGCAGAAATAGTTAAAAAGAGATCATTTATGTTCAAATATAACATGACTCAAACTATTTGAAAAAATCATAAAATATTTAAAAAAAAAAAAAAATTACATGATTAGTATAAGAAATTTTACAAATATTTTTTTACTAATTTGAGCAAAAAACTTACTAAAATACAGAAATTATAACATTAAAATTCAAAAATGGGAAGGTGTTAATGAAAAATTTAAGCCTGTGGACAATTCAATTTTTTAATGGAAAGTTTTCTTTAATCAAAATATTAAGGTTACTCATACTCAATTTATTTATAATTAAAGATATAAGCAATTTATATACAATTAACTATTAATTAAGATAATATATTTTTCCCTCTAGCATAGATTTGTGAGCATTTGTCATATTTGATAAAACAAAATTGTAGCAAAGTATGTGACTCTTCATGTGTTTAAAAAGTATTATACATATACTTTATCCTTCAATTTTTGAAAAGGTTTTAATCACACTAAGGATTTGAATTAATAACAATTCATTTAAAAACTAAACAAATTTTGACCCCAGTAATATGCAGTTTAAAATTAGACATGTATAACATAGACATGTACGACATAGATAAATTTTCTGACCAAGAATAACAGTAATACATCAAAATGTAAAATTATATTGAACTCAGTTTTGTTTTTTAAGAAAGAAATAAAATACAATTTTTTTTAAAAATAACTTTACAGTGTTTTAATGGCTTACAAAATATATGTATAAAATCAATTTAACTTCAAAAATCTGATAAAACAGTTTTAAAAATTAAACTATTGTAGACCCAAAAAGCTCATTTCCATCATAGATTATAATTTGATTAAATTGAAATAAAAAAAAGTTCTTCTCAGAATATTTATAAGTCTAAAAAATTTATTTGCAACTCTTAAAACTAGATAATAGATGTTATGGAGGACACAGATGTAAGAGTGTTAGATGCAGATATATATATATGCTACTACCTAACTCTTTCGCAAAAAGAAATTAGTATAAATTTGAAAACACCAGAACAAAAACTTTAAAATGAGAAAAAATAAAATAAAAACCTTTTAGTAAAAGCAATTTATATTTCTTAAGAAAATTTATTACTTATTACAAATTTATTTAAATAACATTAGTAAAAAATATTATTGCAACATATCAAAAACTTAAAATAAAAGGTTTTGACCACCTTTTTTGTCATATGCATATATTAGCAAAAGCAGTACCTTCATATATTAGTGTTGATTAGAAATTACAATAGAACAAATGCTAATAGAACATAGAATACAACAAATATTAATGTATTGAAACCGAATAATGACTGAATCTGACTTGAGAATATTACAAATTTAACCTCTAGCTTTCAGTAATTATGCTCCAATTTTATGTCTAAAAAGAAATAGAATTTTAATCAAAACTGAATATTTTTTTTTACAATTGTACACATAGTGAAAAATAGGTTAGAGAAGATATAGGAATAATTAATGGAAACTAATTACCAATGCTTTGTTGATTTTTGGTAGGAGGTATGCTGTCTATCAAATCTAGAAAACTTCTGTCTTTCATATCATCTGTATCAAACTTATCTAAAATGTCAAACACTTTATAAATAAAACTTTCAAAATACTAAATATTTATAAACAGAATAACAAACATTAGTCAGAATTAATAACTGGGAAAAAATGTAAATGTAATTCATAAATAAAATGAAAATTATATGTAATTTCTTCAAGAGGAAATATAACCAAATTGTGAAAACCTGAGAAAAAAAACTATTTTGTTTTGCGAAAACTATTCAAATCTATAAAACATTATGTTTTTTAGATAGTCCGTGGAAAAAAAAACCCAGTTAGATTTTCATTAGACTAATTAATTTATGGCTTGGTTAAAAATAATACACATTTAAGTATTAAAGTAAACTATAAACTGTGCATAAAGTGGATTATAAAAAGGGGATTTTACAGTAATTTTCAAATTATACCATAAGCAAAAGAATTTTTGTTTTGACCAAGAGAGTAGGAGAAACTGGCAAAATATATGGGTTCAGTAGAAAATCTAGTAATGTTGGCAAATGACTATCGATTTCATAAATTAAAGCCTCACAGTCAGTTAATTAAGGAACTAATTCCATTTGAATAAATTTTCTTAGCAATGATGCAAATGATGAAATATGCAAAACAACACAACTTAACACAAAATCTATGGTGTTAAGTTTGATAAAACACATTTGTTATCTACAACAGCTTAATGTCTTTAAACATAAAAATCAAAGAACAATTAATCAACAAAAATTTTTGCAATTTGAACATGGAAATCTTAATACAATTTTGTCATGATCCTAACCCTCCAATCACTGAGCTCCTGGAAATTTTTTTATTGAAATTTCCTTATTATGCACACATTTCCCATTGAAAAAAGTGGATAAAACCGGTCATTTGATGAAGAAAAGCCTGCAGGCTTAAAGATCAGAGAAACCAAAGCAAATGCTCAGAGGGTTAATTTGAATAGCTTATATAAAATAGTATAAATAGAAAATGTTAATTTTCATTTTTTACCTTGGCAAGGATTTGCAAACTCATAGATTACCTATTACTATGAAAATGAAATCTGTAAATGGAATGGTGGTTAATATACACAAAGAAAAAAAATTCTAAATCAAATATCTTAACTCTATTAACACACAGTGGCCTGTTTAAAAATCAGTACTCTCTTAATATAACAAATAACATTGAAATTAAGTTATTTTATATAGATTGGTTTAATTACAGATGGGGTTGCATATCTTTGAAAAGTTAACTATTTATTTCTTTAAAGCTAGACAAGACACCAGAATCTAAAAATTAGCCAATACTTACATGCGCTGCTTTCGGTCAAGATGTCTGTTTGGTAATTTTATCCCTAGGTAACTAAACTTTTGTCAAATAGACTCCTGAGTGTTGCTATTGAGTATGTTACTATGCAACTTTGAAAGATATCAAATATTTCATTTAATCAACAATTTTCGACTCTACTTAATTTACTAAATTACTATTATTTCTAATCTGTTGAAAGATTCCAGAATCTAAAAAACTAACCAATGCTTATATGTGCTGATTTCTAAAAAGACATGTGGACACATCTTTTAAACTTAAACTCTAAATAACAAAACTTTTCAAAATGGACTCTGAAATGATGATGATTTTTGAGATGTCTGTAGGGTATTTAATTCTTTAACATCTTGGAAGATAGCAAACCTTAAAATTTATCATGACTCTATAGTTTAATAAAGCTTTGTGAGTAATTCTCTTAAACTATGCTAATTTGTTAGCCATGAATAAAGGTAACATAAAAATAAACATGTTTTTTTTATTTATAATCTATGAGTAGAGTTACTGGCTAAAGAATAACACTGATTAAAAGTATCTGGGTAAAAAATGAGTTTTCAAAGAAAAACAGGAGTCCAGACTTTTAGTAAACAGTCAAATTCTTTTTTCTTTTCGAAAAGGAAAAATCTTTCTTATAAAACTTAGGTCCTCTTTTTTGTTGAGATTTTGACAAAAATTGCAAACTAACTAACAAGGAGCTGTAGTTTAAAAATTATAACTCAAAGACAGCATCTAAGTTTTTAAAAAGAAGAATTTTGTGAAGGGTTTATTTTTAAAACAAAAAGTATTGTTATAAAGATAAAATATTTTATGAGGAGTCTGTTTTTACAATAAATAAATTTATCTTAAATGTATCTCTTATAGCTGATCTTTAAATAGACCATTGAACATTAAGACTATTGATAGAACAACACATTTGTAATAATTAAAAAAAAATGTTACCTGATAAGGATAAAATAAACTCAGCACTTGGAAGTATAGGCGGGTTCCGAGTTTGTAAGAAATAGATAACCAGTAGAGAGATAGTGTAAGTGTTAAACATCAATCCTTTACCAATTAATTCTACATGTTTTGCCCAGTATCGTAGAGTCATCATAAGAGGAGTTACACGTTCATCTAGCTTTGCATAAAGATATAGGAGTTTGGTATTTGCAAAAGCAACTCTGAAACATAAAGACCAACATTAAACAAGTTTACAAATCCATTTATATAACTAGAGCTATGCAATAACTAAAACACAATACAAATAAGTTGAAAAAGTATAGGTTTCTGAAATAAAAATAATTAATTTAAAGTTAAAAAATGCTATAAAAAAGGTACATTAAAAGATTATGCTATTCATGGGCAATCAATATTTTATTTTGATACAACAAACAATGAAAAATAAATAAATTTAAGTAATTAAAAATGAAAAAAAATTCTTTTTCAACTTATATGGGAATATTACTATTTTTTTGCAAAATATACCATTCTCTTATGGGCAATAGAAAAGTTTTAGACAAAATTAAGTATAAGGGAAGAAAAAAATAAGAGATGAAATTATGATTCCAAAAATAATTAAAGCCTAAAATAACAATCTTTATTGTTGTTTAAAAAATTGAATAAAAAGAGGTATATAGCTGTAAATCTTTTGATAGAAATAAACAATTTTTTTATACAGAAGAGTTTTTCCGCATAAAAAGGAATAATTTAATAACTAAATAGAATATTTATAACAAAATGAAACATTAATATTACTTGTAAAAAATTATATGTAAATACCTTTCATTTGAGTAATAAGGTTTACAGAAAACAATTAAAAATTAAAGCACCTGCACAAAATTATGAAACATTTACAACACATATAACTAGCACAAAATAAGGCATATGATTTTTTTTTTAACTCGTGTACAAATGCATAATCATTCAAGATTTAGTTTTTTATGCATGACAACTTTTAATACTTTTTATCTCAAAAGACAAGTTGCTTGGCACAGCATGTACTCTATTAAATGCGACAGATAATTAAATTCTTACTCTTTATGATCGTTTTATATTTTTCTGAGTTATATTCCGAAACATAAAAAACACTATCGCATATTGATAAAAAATGAATATTTCTATTAGTTTAAAATGATATTTTTTAAATAAAAATCTATATGATACATTTATTTCCAAATATATATTTTTAGTATAAAATAAAAATATGTTCCTTACTTATTTTTCATAGTGAGGTCACATTTAAGGTTGTATTTGTCATGATAAAACCTAACAAGAGGTACATGAGCATTAATAAACTTTGCAGGAACTTCAGAGTCTTTGTAAAATTCTAAGAGAACTGAATGAATAAATAATAGTTGTTCCCTCAGTGGTAATTCAGAAAGTTCTTGGACTGAAACTTTACCACTCAGAACTTCTGATACTAAAGGAGGATCTGGTCTTTCTAAATAACAACTCTGAAATAAAAATCCATAATTAAATAAGTAATTGCACATGAATGTCACAATTATGTGTCTTAAAACTTTAAGCGCTGCAAAAAATGCAAACTGTTAAAAAACATTACAATCAACATACTAGTGAGAAAAATATTATGCATTAGAAATTAATTGTTGGAAAATCTTAACAATAAATTTTATTGTAAACTATGCAAAAATTTAGTATTTTACCTTGTCTTTATAATGGACATTTGTTTCAAAAGTCAGATCTAAATCACACCCTTTGAAACCAAAAGAATTAACAGTCGAACCAAACATTTGAATCTTAAAATCATTGAAAAAGGGTTTAAATAATAGCTCGACTGTTTTACAAAATTCCTCTCGTCGTTGGATGTCTTCAGGAGTAAGGGAAAAAATATCTACTAAGCAACTCATTTGATCAGCAATCTAAAAGAAAGAAAAATATTGATTAAATATATCTTTTATTGTTGCTATGAGACCAATTACTCTAAGAGAATTAGGAAAAAACTTGATTTTAAGGTGTATTTATTAAAACTTATATTTTATTTTAATTATAGTAATAAATTTTAAAAAAATTCTAAGAATTGAAGGGAATTAAAAACCTACATAGGCAATAACCTAAAACTAATTTTAGTGATAGATATTTTTTTTTTTTGCATAGTTAATTTGCACTATGTTCGATCAAACAAATATGTATAAATTTATTTTATACGATTACTAGAATTATTAAATCACAAATTTAAAAGAATATGCAAGTTTGTACATTGTCATTATATTAGATTTTAATGTAATAGAAGATTTTCTTTCAAACATATTGATTGTAAACTCTCAATTCAGTGACAATGCAATAAAATACGTTATTTAACTAATGCGAATAAATGAGATTTTTTTTATTCATAAAAGAATAAATTTTTAAATAACTCAATTTTATTTTCAACATGCTTCAATGAAATGATTATAAGTAAGTATTTAAAATTTTTTTTAAACAATCAAAAAAAAAAAATTGAGATATAAAACCAATTATGTGATATATAGGGATGCGACATTGAAATAAAAAATTCATGCAACAATATTCTATCCTTTTAAGCCACTAATTTGACTGTTAAAAACATTAATAATAAAAATGTTCCTTAAATAAATCTTTCTTAATTTATGTGGTTAGAGTCACAACGGTTCAATGGTAAATTCACAGCATTTCCAAATTGTTTTTATGGCTGCTACTATAGCTTTATGTCTCTTTCCACATGGTATTTCAAACTCAGGGATCTTTTCATAGGATGATATTACAAGACTTTATCAGTCATTTATTTATTTTTTTTCCAGCCAATTTTGCAAGATTATTCAAAATTCAATATTTTTATTATCATGATATTACAACAAGCAGATTTTGAATTTCAGTAATAACTTTTTAGGTACTCAATTAGTAACAGGATCATAAATCCTAGGAGTTCATCAATTGTTTTTAACAACTATTTATTTATTTTTTTCTTCCAAAGGGCAGGAATCTATTTGTTTGAAAGTTTTTCAGATCTTGATATATATAATACAATGTGATCATGATATGCAAATATTTGATTTCAGTAACCACATTTTAACACACTGTATTTACAATGTTTCTATTGTAAGTCTCTTCAGCTTTACGATGTTTTTTTAGCAACAGCTCAAACTTTTTTGGTCTGTTTCCACATGAGTTTTAAAAACTTCAATATTTTGATATAATGTTAAGATCATATGCAAAATGAAGAATTTGAGTGGTAATTTTTCGACATGCTCTATTCGCATTGCGAATCTGCTTCGTTTTCCAAAAGAAAACTTTTTGGCAAATCATAACAGGTATTTATTGTTTTTTCAGTCATTTGCATATCATTTGAAAAATTTTGATATTGTAAATATAATAAATTTTTCAAAATGTGAAAACTTCATACATTTTAAAGCTAATTCACCAAGTGCATAAATTTATTGTTATAATTACTTGCTTATTTAAATAAAACAACTTCTGTTTTAAAATCATAATATTTTTTAACACTTTTGCTGCTTATTTCATGCCAGCGCATGATAGTTGCTAGATTAGAAACTCACATTGGCACGAGATATGTGCTAAAGGAAAAATTAAGAACTTTGAATTCCATGACTTTTCAGGGACCACATTCTTTTCTGAAAACACTAGGCATTTTGTTGAAGAGTGCCCTTTTTAGTTTCCAGTGCCTTGCTTTTTTTAAAGGTTTAATTGTCATATTTATATTTGCATATGTCCCCTGTGGCAGAATTTTTTTGGCTTTCTGTGACATACCACTCTAATATTAGTATCTTTCTGAAAGATATTTATAAAAATAACAAATACACATGCTACTAATTTAAAGTAAGAGAAGCGTCAACATCGGAAAAAAAAAATTCTGATCAAACAAATATTTTTTTAATTGAATATGTAATTTTTTTAGATTCTAAAATTTTGAGTGATATTCTCTCATTTTGTTGGGGAATAACAAACTATTTCCTTTTCGGAATTTTGTAATTCATCATCACATTAAAATAATAATAGAAAAATCGTGAAATCCTTAGCAGTAACTACTAAAAAAAAAAAAGATTGACGACAAAATCACGCAAATCGGACTCTTAAAAAAGTAGTTACTGAAAGCGTGGTTTCATTTCCAGATTCAGTTGTTGTAATAAATAATATCCTATTGAGAATATTGGATTTAAAAGCTATGTGGAAATCAATAGTAATAACTGCATAAAAAATAGAATAAAAATGACTGTAGAAAATAAAATAAATTCTTTTTTTATTTCATTACTCTTCATTTTTCATTACGAAAATAGAAAAATCACAAGCATTTTTTCCACTCCTTTGATGTGCGAGAAAGACATCTTTTGAATATAATTCTGAAGAAAAGAAAAACCAAAATTTTTTATTCCCCAAAGGAAAACTCTTTCTGCAAGAACTCGGCAACGATCTGCGACAAAGTAGCCACGATTCTGCCACGGGCATATGTCCGATTAAATCAAAATGAATGAAACAGAAATTTAATTTTCACATTTAAATCATAAATGTTATTAAATCAACTTAATTTACATATTTTTGTGCATGTCTTTTAGCATCTTCAGAAAATGGAATTCATCTCAACCTAATTTTATACTTACCGTATTATATTTTTTAAGAGCAGAAATCAATGCTTCATGGGATACAGGTTGATCAAAACTGACATCTTTGAAAACAACAGATGGAGCTTCTAAAGAATTCTGATTATCTTTAGATGGTTCCTCTTTATTTGCTATTTGTGAATGTAAACGAGCCAAAGTATTTGTTGGATTGACAAACAAGACCTGTTAGGAAGAAGAAAACAAATAAAACAGTATATTAAATGAATAATAGGGAAGTTATAAGAAGTCATAACATAAATCAAAGAAAATTAAAATTTTTTTAATGTACTTATTTTTTCTAAACTATCAGCAAGAAAAAAATCAAAACTTATTATAAAAGACAAATCTTTTTATTTGATTCATGGATGAAAATGGAAAATTTATTCTTATTGAAGCAATATTTTCTTAATAATGGAAAAATCATAATCTTACATATTTTGCTTCTTATAAAATAACAAGTCATAATTTCTTACTGTTCAAATTATGTATTCTATTTAAATAAATTAAACTGAGACAATATACTTGTTTTGACAAAAAATTAATTGAATGTCTATTCATTTTCATATTCGGCATAACAGCTCAGGGTGTGCTAAGACATTCTGCTAAAGATTCCTGCAAGACATAAGAGGCTAAATTAAGAAATTTTGCAGTACTTTTAATAGAGGTCATTTTTTCAAAAAATGAAAATTCTAAATAAATAAAAAACTAATGATGAAAAGCATTCCTCTAAATATGGTAAACTGAAAAAAGTTAATTTCTAAAACAGAGAAAAAATTTTCTGCCATCTCAAAGAAGTTTTAAGTAGAACTTAAGTATTGAATATAACGTTTACAACTTATAAAATTTAAGCTTTGAGTTTTTGAATCAATAATGCAACATAAAATTCGGGGATATTTTCCGTATCGGGATCTGTCGCGCCAACTACAATCGCCAAGGTGCCAAATAGATATTAAACTTGCAAATTTAAAAAACAAACAAAACATGTAATGTTTGCCTGGGGGTGGCTATGAGTTATACTTTTTGAGTTGTTCCCTTTCCGTGATTTTTTTTTAAGTTTCTAGCGGGCGACTGCCAGGAAGTTTCCAAGACTTGGCAATTATTCTGCCACAGATCACGATACTGAAATCTTCCCTAAAATTAATTAGTTAAAAAAATAAACCTGAATTAATTGATAATTTTTAAAAATTTAGTTTTTTCACAATTGGTTAGGATTAAAAATATTTGCAATAACGTTGCAAGTTTTAGGGAGGCTGAGAATAATTTGAGTAATAATGATTTTCCATTTAACTTTTGTAATGTTAATTTTTTGATTAAGAAAATGATTGAAGAATATTAATTTTTTTATTTCTTTTAACATGGCGCAATTCAAGTCTTAACTGAGCAGCTCCAGTTAAGCATTATATTAATTTGTTATGTAATCTTTTCTTTTACTTCTCTTCTTTTTTTCATTCTACGCATTTTAATAGAGGGCATTGTTTTCTTCTGTTTTAAGTGTTTCCTTTGCATTTTGTTTGTTTGTGAAATCGCTGCTTGACCGGTTTAATGTGAGTTTTTATTTTCTCAAGATTTAGTTTGAATTTCTTTTCTAAATTGGTTTTACGTATTTCATGCATTTTTTTCCGGGACTTCTACAAAACCTTCGGGGTTCTGAGAGAGTTAATTTTTGCATTTGATTTAGTCTCTCTCTCAATAGTAGAAAAAGTTTTGCTTTACAGCTTCTGAGGCCGGTACCCCTTGAAGACGTCGGCTTCGGTGGCCATATTTTTATTTCTTTTGTTTTCTTTATTGCTATATTGATAAATTACTTTACGATTTTAAAAACTCAATAGACCATTTCATGAATGAATCATTCTATATAAAGCATTTCAACATGTTGTAAATTCAAAAAGGTTTAATTTCCACAAATTGTCAATAATAATAGCAATTTAATAAATAATATAATGAAAACAAAAATATAGCATAATTTTTTCCTTAATTGCACAATCTATTAGGATTTTTTACAGCGCTCTACTAAAGAATTTGTAATTGAAATTATGCCACATCAATTTATATTAATAACCAATTGGCAAAAAATAAACAAATCAGCGAATTTTGGTAGAAAAAAAGTCATATTATAAATCAACTTATATTGTACAGGTTGTTAGCATATACGATATAAATGGTAAAGTTAAGTACACTCTGCTGCCGAGTGTCGCGTTACAGTTGATTATTAATTATATTAATCTTCAGAAACAATTATAGTTGAGCACAGTTCAAAAGTAACACATTATAAAAACTACATGAAGAAAATGTGGTACTTGAAATCAAGCTTATTTTTTACTTTCTATATACTCCTTTTCTTATTTGAACAGTCAAGATTTATTCTTACCGGCAGACAACGGGAATTTATTTGAAAAATGTGTCGATACAAGTACGAACATTGGCACCGAGAATTGGCATGTAATTTATAAAAAAATTTAGGAAATCGTTTCGATATTAAACGGAATTGCATGACAATCATCTTATAATTTATAAAATAAAGAAATAATCAATAGCAATCAAAGAACAGAAAACTTGCAGCTTTGATTTGTTTTTATTTATAAAATATCAGGAAGAATCTTCGAACTTCCTATTTCTGCTAAATTGAAGGTTTCTGATATTATTTTACTGTAGATTACGGTTCTATCCTTACTCAAGAAATTACGCAGATGCGATTGAAACCTTAGCATGGTTTAAAAGTTCTTAAGGGAAAGCATTTTTCACTAGGATTATTATTTTTATTAATAACATATTTATTTATAATATTTTTTATTGAAGGCATTTAATTTCCATTTATCAAAATCGCTGAGAATGGCCTCTGAATATATTTCATCTGATCCTTCAAATTCGCATCTGCGTAATTTTTGTATACAGTGGGAATGAGCCTTAAGAGCTTTCTCTTGAAGAGCTTAAAAAGTTTTGAATGCGTTTGTCGCACCTTTAATCGCCATCGAGTAGTGAAATATATTTGCATTCTAAAAATTTACCAATCAAGTCTACTTTTTCTCTCAGGGACCATTCTCACCGACTTCGGTGAGAATTCGCGATCGCAACGCTCGAGTACGCCGTCTAGCGGGAGACTGTAAATATCGGACATTAATTTATCACGTTTTCATTTAGTTCCATCAAAGTCATTGACTGAATCAGACGCCATTTTTTAGCAGCAAATAAGAAACAAAATTTCCCTAAGGAAAAGGCCGAAGAACTTGAAAAAAATCTCCAGAATATTAGTAAATCTTTCAGGAACAGAACACGCCAAACATTTGAAGAAAAATTCCTCAATAATTTTTAATTTCTATTATCAACAAACTTGCAACTGATGACTTCCGATTTCGGATACTGTTACAGATGTGTGTATTAAGGTAAAATGCATTTCTTCTGTCTTCAATTCATTACGAATTAAAGTGAAGTCAACATTGCTTTCGTCATTCCAGTGAATAAATATGAATTCAGAACATACAGAATTGTAATAGTTATAGCATATTCTTCTTCGTTATAGAATAGTATATATTTCTGTATCCATATAATTCGGAAAACAACAATAAAAAATTATCCAAGTTACTTGAAATAGTGCCATTTGTGCTGATTCTTAATTAATTTAAATCGTTTTCTTGGTAAGTTTTTTTTAATTTTGAAAGAATAAGTTCAACTAGAATTCAGCTATTCTGTTTTTAGCTACATATTCAAATTCATATCAATTATAAAATTTTGCTGTGTAGTATGTTATCTAAAAGTAATGAAGGTATAAACTATGTATCTATTATTTGAGAATAAAGTTTTCAAACAAGGAACTTATCATTTTGGAATTCTCCGGGAATCATAAATCAGGTAAGTGCAATGATTTTTACAATAAAAAATTTGCTTGTAAATATTTTTTTTTCATTTGATGATGGTTCTCTACAGAATGGTTTTTTACGTCTGATTAAGAACTATAAGAATAATAAAAAAAGAAACAATATGAAAGTTTTTATTTCAATGTTAAGAATTCTTAAAATCGTTTTTTTTATCCTAAGAATTCTTTATTTTCCGTTTTTTAGTTTATAATTTTTTGATAAAAATTGTTCTCAAAATACTTTTTTTGAAAAATTAAATGGTATAACATTATGTGTTTATGTATACTTCTTGTATATTCCAATGTTTGAAGTAATATGATTCAGAAAAGTATGGAATAAAAATTCGGTACTTACGTATTAACGCCACCGCCGCTACAGATTTGGCGGTTTTTAAGTGCCGCCAATCTACACTTAAAATTTTTGCGACAATTCATAAAATAAAACACTTTATTTAAAATCAAAATAGTCAATCGGATTTCGGTGGAAAATGAGCCGATATAGAGTTTAGCATAGATTCAAAACAATCATATCGCCATATGAACTCTGATAAATAAGATTCCAAATGAAATAACATTTCCAAAACGTACGTTTACCAAGATAAAGTTTTATGTTGTGGGAATTGGTACATTTTCGTTTTTTCGGTAAAATATTTCCCTCCTGAAAAAATAAAATTGCATCTTGTTTTGTTTTTGGCAAATCCCAAAGACGAATTTTCGTAGCACTAAAAATGGCGACAAAAAAGAATTGTTTTTTTTTTTTTGTTTCGTCAGCATTCTTTATTTTACGTTTCTTAGTTTCTAAATAATGATTTTTATTGAAACTTGAAATTTTTTGATAAAAATTGTTGTCAAAAAACTTTGTTTACAAAATTAAATTTCATAAAATTATGAGGCTTATGTATACTTTTTGTTCATTTTAATTTTTGAAGTAATATGATTCTTAAAACTATAGAATGTAAAGTTTAAATGGGCCTTTCATGTTATATCATTAAATTTAGTAATACTATTTCTCGGGCATTAGGTTTTAACTCTTATAAGAATATACATATTTTTTTCTGTTAATGTACAAATATTTTTCCGATGTGTTTTGGATATTCCTTCTCTAATAAAAAGAGATACCATTTTGTTTTCGGTTGTACAAGAAAGAAGATCAAGCATTTTTCTTTTTTAAATTTAATAAGCCACATTAAAGAAGGAACGTTGCAATGCTACACGCTACATTAACGACGTCTCCAGAGTAACTGAATGACGGTTCATATGGAAATCGCAGGTAAGCGTCTCATACAACAACGCCCCCTATAGTTCGTTGCGATCGCGAATGGTCCCTGAGAGAAAAAGTAGACTTGATTGATGTAATTGTTGCGTTTGCGTAAAATGAAGATTCGCGATTAAAAGAATAGATTCGCGATTGCGAAGGACACCGGTTCCATTTCTAATGAGCAATAGGCGATCGCAACGCTCGCATCCGCCATCTGAGGAGAAGACCGGTTCCATGTCTTTGGCCCTTCCTTCTCCTCCTCTTTTCAGTTGTATAGGAATGTACTACGACATTTTTTCTTTTCTAAATATTTTTTATTTTAAAATCGTGAAAATATTTTTTCAAATTTCCATGATGCTTTCTTTTGAACTATGCTTAATGTAGTTTTCAATTCCATATAGTTTCCCAACTTAAAAAGATTTTAATCTGTATGAAAATCAAAACAGAAACTAACACCTTCTATGACTCTCCACACGCTATAGCTTGTGGAGAGTCATAGAAGGTCATAGAATTATAATGGTGAAAGCATGCGAAATGTTGCAATAGGTGCAGAGTTCTGCTGTATGCCACCTATAGCCTATTTCGATCTCCAATTTTCACTTTCTTTTTTCAATGAACCGCAAATGAGATTCCTTTTTTAAAGATTTTTTTTCTCCATTAGATTGACCGATTTTTCGCTTTATAACTAGATGGAGTACAACTGAGTAAATTTCTTAGAAATATTGAAAACTGTTTTTGATGGTCTAAATTTGTAAAGTATTGTATTATGAAAAGATAAAATATTGGAAGGGATAATTCACACCGCATGCAAAAAATTCACATGTTCGAATTTGGAGATACGAGTGAGAACTTAATTTCTAAAATATTTATATGTCCGCAAAAAACTGCCCAATCAAGTTCCTGCCCTCATGTTCGAATTCACAATTCCATTATACTGGCAAATTTTTTCACAGGCAGTGATAATGGTTCTTAGCTCTGATCTATGGGAATACAGCAATAATAAACATTTGGAAAGTCAGATGAATAAAAAAGTTATCGAGTCCGCGATTAGCAAATATTTTTAGAAAAAAAAGTCTTGCTTTAATTTCTCAGAAAATCTTTTAATAATTATTTTAAGTTCGCGTTAAAGAATAAAATATGTAAAATATTGTAAAAGTGTATATATGGCTTTTGTTGTTAACTTAAAATATACTAAGGTCTTCGCAATTATATAATCATCTCGGATATTAATCTTTTGGTCTTATTTTTAAATGGTCCAAATTTCTTTAAAAAAAATCTACCGAGATTTGCATGAAAAACTTAAATCTGAATTACATTTTGAGATAAAATCGAAGATTTTTTTACGTAAAATATTAAGATTTGTATCAACAATTTCACATTACATTAAGAGTACCGTTGACATACAGGCTTAATTGACGCAAAATTTGAGGTCATGGTCATTCTTCAAGGTCACTCCTTACCCTGTTTTTCTCTTGCAATCACCTTTTAGCTTGGTTTGTTGGATGGTTTCCTGAACCATAAATCTCAACAAAAAAGATTTTCCTTGGAAAATACGGAACTCATTCTATTCAATGTCACACGAGAGGTTTTCCTGCTGCACACTCCTCTTTCCATCTTTAGAAAAGTTCTTATTTAGAGAACTTTAACCAGAAAAAATGTTAACCTAAGAATATATAATTAATAAAGAATTACATATACGTATATATTTAAAGAAATCGATATTTTAAAAAAGGGGGAAATAGATAATTTACAGAACATTAAATCTGAGTATCTTTGCCCCCCTGGTGCTCCGGGTGATCATGAACCTTGCCTGCTTTTTTCGCCGGTGTTGGTGCTACCTGTATCTCATCTTTTTAGTCGCTAATCCTACAATTGGAAGTCAAAGGATTATGTTTCGAAGAATTAAAAAAAAAAATAATACTTTCTTTTAGGTATAGAGACGGCCAAGGCACTGTGTCTACTTTATAACTCCAAAACCATTTGTGCTTGGGTTCTGAAAATTATACGGCAAGTGCAAGGGTTAATCTTAGCCCCCAGTAATAATAATAAACACTTTTTTATTGGTTTACCGTTATGCTTTATTCAAAGTCAAACAACACATGAATCTGTGGGTTTATTATTTTTTACTTTTGATAGCTTTTGTGGTGCTTGTAAGCTTACAGTTCTATTTAATAAAAAATAAATAAATAAAATTTAAAAAAAGATAAAAAGAAAGAAACAAAAAATAAAACTATGGGATTTATTTGTATTTTTTTAATTAAGTAGATATACTATTTCATTTCCACCACCGGCTAGCCTCTTTCTCCACACGGCTTAAAGGAAGAATCCATATACTACCGTTATTGGAAGCAAGAGAACTTTTCTTTTCTAACTTATTAGCTTTCCAATAATTTTAGTGGTAATTTTACACTTTATATAATTTCATTGGACAATAATATTATTGGTCATTTTTGCTTATTTGTAGTTTGCTGCTGATTGGGCTACAGGTCTTCCATTTACAGGTTCCATTTAGGTTTCTCATCTTTAGGCGAAGAACTGTATTCATTTCTTACCTTTTGTATAGAAAAGAATTTTTTAATGCATTTTTTCAGAGAAGTCCAAGAAAAAATGCGGATAACACTGTAAATTGAAATAACAAAATTGTGTATCGAAGTGCGAAATTAATGGGAAAATTATCTGATTGTGGTAAATTTTGATTATCATTAGTTGGTCACGATAGCATCATTTTCGGTTTCTACTTTATATTGAATACAGTAAACCTTTATTTTGATGAGAATATTTTCTTAAAGCGTGGTTTGCTTAATAATGTGTTAATAACGATTTTCTTCGGAGGTCCAGAACAGCCAAGAATAATAGTAAGAAAATTGAAGCCTTAGGTTTTAAAATTATGGCGCTTGAAGCATAATTCTAATTGCGTAGTGTTGCTCGATTAATGCCGATTTATTATTTATTTAACTTTTTTGCTCTTTACGAAAAACATGCATTCAACTAGTACATTACAAAATTATGCTAATAAAATTATTGTGTGCACATTTTTTGGAAATGAACGAAAGAAGAATGAATTTGATAGTTGTAAGAGGCTATTTATCAATTGCTGGTATTCAAAAAAAAACATTCATTCGGTCTACTTTATATTGAATATAGTAAACCTTTATTTTGATGAGAATATTTTCCACAAACGTGTTTTGCTTAATAACGGGTTTTTTGGGAAGTCTAGAGCAGCAAAGAATAATAGTAAGAAAATTTAAATTTTAGGTTTTAAAACAAGATTCTGCTTGCGTAGTGTTGGTCGATTTGTTATTTTTTTTTTTTACCCTTTACGAAAAACAGGCTTTCAATTTGTGCATTACAAAAATAAACTAAAAAAAGTTTTGTGTACACATTTTTGGAAATGAATGAAACAATGAATGAATCTGATAGTTGTAACAGGTTATTCATCAATTGCTAATATTCAAAAGAAATCAGTCATTCAGGTAATTTATCAATGAGCAATGTGGTCAAAGTTTCGATATAAAATTCCCACCTCATACACACAAAAGTAAGTGGAAAAAAAGTTTCAAAATATTTGCATTATTGTTGTATTAGTTTTTATTACTATTTATTACTTGCTAATATTCAAAAGAAATCAGTCATTCGGTAATGCATCAATGGAGTAAATGGCTATCTTAAAAATCCTCTCTCACAAAAAAAAAAAAAAAAAAAAAAAAAAAAAAGAGAGTAAAGAGCCAAAGAGTTCTATGCTAAATTTTTACTGCAGCAAGCTTATAATATTTAGAAGGAGAAAATTCAAACCCGGCCACTTATTTGGTTAGCAAGAAAGGTAATGAACACTAACTCTCTTGTACGATTTCTCGTTATTGGATTATTATGTTGTAGGGTTTCAATCTGAGAAGATAAGGACCATTTCTTTTATGGGAATGACACCGTTTATTTCACGATAGATTTGTAAGTAATGAATAGTTTATGTATTTTCTTCTTGAATTCGTCAAAAATACTTAATTTCTTTAAACAAATCTTAATTAACAGTATTTTAATCAACAGTTTTTCTGAATAGCTTTTATGTTAGCTAAGGGAAAAAAGGATCATTAAAGCATTTTATTAAAAGTAATTCCATGTTTTTATATCGACGTTGCTTTAATGTATAACATTTTGATAAAAGCTATTATGGTTATATATTAGAAATAATATTACATAATTTAATGAAAGGAAATGTGTGATTTTTCTTTTAATTTTTTATTTAGAGCAAGGGAAGTATATATGATTTAAATTTGAAAATGATAATTTGCTTTCTATTTTAATTTTTTTGTTCTGTAAATAATGCTAACATGTTTCATATCATTTTTAAGTGATTTATATTTATGTTTGAGATTAGTTTTCCTTTCTCCTCAAAAAAAAAAAAATCTAAAAATTAAAGAAAACTAAACGTGAAATACTACTACTAATAATAAATTATCCAAATCTGCTTTTTTCTCCAGGTTGTAATATATGAAAAATAATTTAAAAGAATTACTGCACCATCTTAACAACAAAACGCAGCATTGTAGGAATTTATAATTTTATGGAAAAAAGGTTGAACTTAAGCAACTTTAGACTGGAATGGAAAGTTTTAATAGAACTAAAATAGAAGAGAGATCTACTCATTTCAAAATTTTGAAAAAACAAAAAAATATTATCTGCGAGAAAGGTTTGAATAAATATTTGATTTTAAGCATTTTTTGAAAGTTTATGAAAAATAATTTAAAAGAATTGCTTTTGAATTGTATGAAAAATAATTTAAAAGAATTACTGCTCCATCTTAACAAAATGCAACATTGTAAGAAATTTGGTAGATAATTCTACGGAAAAAAGGCTGAACTTAAGTAACTTTAGACTGGAATGGGAAAATTTTAATAGAACTAAAATAGAAGATAGATCTACTCATTTTAAAAGTTTGAATGAACAAAAAAATATTAGCTTCGAGAAAAATTTGAATAAATATTTGATTTTAAGCATTTTTGAAAGTTTTCAATTCATTTTGACGTTTAGTATGATGAACTATATGAAATTAATTATTTGTTTAGATTTTTCTCTCTTCTGTTTTTACATTAAAAAAGTTGAAATGTTTAATCATCTACATTTGAGAAAATTTTCAGTTCTAAAATACATTCCCTTTAAATTTTGATATAAGAGTATCATTACTTGAAATAATTTAAATTTCGAGTAAAGATACTTTTATATCAATATTAGATTTACCTGTTTTTTCGCAAAAAATCAATAAATATATTATTGAGACAAAATTATTTAAACTTTTTCCATAAATAAATTACTTATTTATATCATTATTATATATATATTTTTCTTAATCAGACATAAATTAAAGAGGTGAAAAAAAGGAAGAAAAAAAAGAAAGTTCTTGCAATGGCAGGTAAGAAATTTATATTTTATTATTTCATCACTACACAAGTTATTATTAATTTAGTGTTAACTGAAAAAAACTAAAACATACTGTAAAAATAAATCTGCTAATAAACAAAATTGCGCTAACAGTTAAACCGTCAAGATTTTCTTGCCAATTCACATTTTTTTACTTCGAATTCTTACTTCAAATTTCTCTTTCTGAAACGATGACTTCTTTTGTCTAGACGCAAAATTACTGTGACTAATTCAGTATTTATTCAGGAAAAAAATTACTTATCGTCTGCTTTAAATTTTTTTATACGAAACTCACCAGAGTTATCGAGAATCAAGGTTCGCCAAGCAAAGTAGTAAATACTTAAAGTACCATATCAGTTTCTAGACGACAACATGTTGAGTAAAAAAAAACATGTATATTTTTATATCGTTTGAAAAAATTTAAGTGCGGAGAAATTTTTACTTCTAATGAGATTTTTTATTAACTTAAGAGAAACCTGTGATATAAGTAAATCAATTTTACTCCGTAATTGTTAAAGGAAAGAATTTTTAGAACGAGTAGAACAAGTTTGCAGTTAAATGCATGACTATGATTGTTTCTTAGTTTCATGTCAAAATATATAAAGTAATATTTAATAATACATTTATTGATAATGAGTATGAGGCAGTAATTGTATCATTTTAGAAAAATTTTTTAATTTCTTTTCAATTTTAGAAACAATTAAATTAAAAACAATAGATTAAATCACAATATATACCGTTTTAAATATTTATTGTCAGAATAGTCGTCAAAGTAGAAGTTGAAAAGAAAAAATTATACATTGATATTTGTAAGGTACGATGTATACGAAAGAAATAGAAAAACCTGATAAATTGTTGGAGAGGAAAGCGACAAGTAAAATGTCAAAACCTGCTTGATTGCTTTAGGAAATTGAAAGATGATGAATTGAAAAAAGATATCTAAAACAATTGTTTCACCGGACAACCAAATTAATTTGAATGGTTTTAATTTCTCCTTACTTATTAGTAATAAGCCGGATTTGGACAAATAACTTGATTGATTACTCTTCGTTTGAATATTAATTTAGGACAATTGAGTATACTTTTTTGTCTTCATTTCTAACTAGGATTCTAAAAATGTATATTAAGGGCAGTGAATATGGGGCACATTGCTTGTCTTAGTTTTTTTTCTTCTATTTTATAAGACATTGTCGAAATTAAATGTAACATTTCTTCATTTTAAATTAAAAGAAGTTCCTTAGTCCAGTCCACTATTGTTTCATTGTAGCACTACATTGCCTTAATATTATTCTATTATGTGTCTTCTTATTATATGTTTTATTATAGGTCTTCGTAGATCATTTAGATTGTCCTCTGAAAAATGGTCCGGCGAAAAAAAGAAATCAACTATAACAGTAAGCTATTGGCAAAATTGTATTCAAAATAACCATATAAGTTATTAACTCCTGTTTAGTTATTATTATGTGTCTGACATTGATATTCTAATAACTGTGAGCGTCTTTATTTTATTGTAGTAGTTCATTTTGACACACTAGCTGCATAATGGTGCACATTGGTGACTGTCTGGGACACATCCCTGAGTATGATCCGAGACCATTTGATCTTCTTCAAAAGGGATGACTCCCCCGCTTTGGTGGCCCGACGTCGAGCAATTTGCGATAGAATAGCTTAACGAGGACCGATACCGCACATCTCTGTCCCTTCGCAGGCTAATAGAAGTTGTCACCCACCCGCTCATTGGCCGCAGCCAGTGATGCTTGACTTTAGTGATCTACTGGGAACTGTTTTTATTGCGATCACGGTGGGGCGTTTTTATTTTGTGAAATATTTATTCAAATATGCTGTTGATATTTGTTAAAGGAAAACTACTTTTTTCCGTATGTTTTCAACGATGTATTTAAAGTACTAGTGTGTTCACTATTTCCAAAACTATGAAGTTAAATTAGCCTATTTTTCAATCTCACTCTCATTTCAAATTTCAATGAAAATTGTAACATAGGTGTATGCGTTGGATTAAAAATTTAAAACGATGCATCGACGGATGGACCCAGTTTTAAACAATGCATAGAGTGATACAAAATTTAAACTTCTTCCTCTAGGTGCCAGATTTAAGACATCTGAGAGTGGTGAAGTCTAGTTTGGAGAAAGGGAAGCAAGTTTGGTGTCGTTAGATAAATTTCCAAAATATCAAACAAGACTAATTTTATTACACTTCGGTCTTGCACGTATCTCTCGAGACATTTTTATTTTAAATAATTTTATTTTAAATAATTCAGCGTCACTTATGAACCAAAACGCAACAATCCTGATATCAAATTGCGATACTTTTTTTCTGGAAAAACCAAATCTGCAATGAAAAACAGGGTTTCCTACTTAGGAGGTCGGATCTGCCTCCGCACATCGGGGTGACATTGAGGAAAAGAGTCAAGTTCAGTATCATTTAAAGTATCTTTTAAAAACATTTCATATGCGTATTCTTAGTATTTAGATATGATATGTAGATTTTGAGATATTGATCGTTCTCAATCAATTTTGACACAATGTATAGTTTGCAGAAAAATTTGATTTTTAAATTTAACAAAAAAGTAAAGCATAAAATAAATGAATAAAATAAAATAAAAAGTGACCTATAAATGTTCCTCAACTAGCAACAACAAACAAGTATTATATGCTTAAAATAGTATTTTTTTTAGAATCGAGATTAACTGAAAATACATATTGCTTCGTGAAAGAATTCAATATCATATAAATGTCAGGAATTTTTCTTATTGTATGTTATGAAATATTCTTATTAAATATCTTCTTTTTTTTTCAGATTGTTATACCTAGAAGTTCGGCTGGTTTTGGATTTACTGTCGTTTGGACAAAGCCGCCACAAGTAGATTTTATTCATGAAGGTAATTTTCTTTTTCAAGATGTAAAAAAAAAATTTAAAATTAAATTGCGATATTATTTATAAATGTTTAAGTTGAAATAAACACTATTTTCTTAATTTGAAAATGAAAGCTTCGGATTTGATTCGTCTTTTAAAATCATGTCGTAATAATGTAAACAATAATAATGTAATGTAATAATGTAATGTAAACGTTACTATATTCAAGTATCATCATTGGTGCCAACACACAAAGAAAAATGCGGCAGAGAACGTTTTTTTAAAGTTATTTTTTTATTAACTTCAGATTGTAACATCACCAAATGTTACAATCTAAAATAAAGTTTTTATTTTTTATTTTTACTGAATCATGATTGTTTCTGTAAATTTTTCTTATTCTATATTTTGATACTGATGATATCTGGATTTCGAATCAAAGCAGCTGTTTCTTTTGTTATTTTTTTATTATTTTTTATTTTGTGCTGCTTCAGGATTTATAATTATTTCTCTTTTATGTTTATACTATATTCAAGCTCAAAGATAACTCGCTTTTCAATGAATAAAAGAACATGTCACGCTTCGCACTCTAAACTCAAGAAAATCAAATGAAACTTTTGCTAAATAAAATAAGGTAATTCATTAAATTCGCTTAAATAAACAATGCCAACTTTTATTGATATTCATTAAATACAAATATTTATTATTTTAGTACATAACTTTTTTATTAACATAAAATAAAAGTATTCAATTAAATTATTTTCTGGAAAAAATTGAGCTTTATGAAGGTACCTCATTTTATTTTCAAAAGGTGTAGTGATTTATGCAAAGAAAATACATAAATACATTTTCAATACAACAACAATGTAATAAAAATAAAGGGATAATTTGATAGTTTGTCATCAGAAATGTAAAAAGTAAATAATTTCAAGATTCGTTTATTCTCTTCTTGCAGATAGCATTGCTGTAAAGGCTGGCTTGTTACCAGGGGATAAATTGATTTCTATTAATAAAGTGCCATTAGCAAAAAAGACTAGAGAAGAAGTTGAAAATTTAGTGAAGTATGAGAAAAAGTTATCACAGTATCTTTGTGCGAAACTAGATATGTATATGTAAATAGTTTTTCATATCTTAAAATTGAGCTATAAATTACGATATTTAGCTATAAATCAAGATATTGATTTTTAGTTATTACAAACTTCCATGAAGCACACGTTAAGAAAGATATAAAAGGAACAGTTTCCGGATTTTTCTCTATATTTCAAAGCTCAGTAGGAATACTACAAAGTAGGAATACTTTCACTTAATAACACACTAATCGAATTTTCATTCTAAAATTACGGTCAAATAGCCAGCAGCAGTCTATCTATCTAATTATTCTGTGCAGGTTTGAAACCGTTTACAATTGGTATGGTTAAAAATCCATGAATACAAAACAACCATTTTGTAACCATTTAAAATTATCAAGGTTTCAATACCGTATAAATGAAATTTACATGGAATTACATTGGAGTTAGGTTATGTTAATCTTTTCATAAGGTGTGTTTCATCAAGTAACCCGTGCAATATGACTTAGTTAGTTATTAGTGGTGCCATCTATCGTGAGAGAGGGAAAATACTCGTCTTCTTTGAGTTAAACAGCACAGCGGTGTTTCTATCTATGCTTGAATGAGAATTTCGCATTCTAATAGTTCTGGGGCACCAGTTGAGGAATGTATTAAGCTCTTCATGCGTTGATTGGTGTATCCTACAAGTGATGTCTCAACTCATCTTGCAATTGTCTTCAGAGCTTTGCTATTATTTGTCCGAAAATATTTATGAGTTCGTATAATATAAATACACGGTATAAACAAAGTTATGATTAAACTTTTTCGTCAAATTGATACTCTACCTGGTTATTATCTTTCCTTAGATATATTTTTTTGGTAAGTAATCAGGCAAGATAAACACAAGAGGCGTGACTACTTAGGGAACAGAGCGCTCTCCTCCAGTAAGGGAACTCAGGTTCGAATCCCAATAGTGGCTGGTCATGCAAATCCTGCTCCGGCTCAAACTGACAAAATGCTGACCGGGAATATTTTTGGTGCGAATATTTCATAACCTACCAAGAGAAAACTTGTTCCCTTGTCATGAAAATCCGTTTTGACAACAAATTTTCCTCGTTATTTTTTTCGGAAAAAACTTGTTCTTGTATTATAAAAAGCCGTTGTGACTACGGAATTGCTTTGTAATTTTCACGGTGAAAACTTGTTTTTATATGGTAAAAAAATCGTTGAGGCTATGCCTTTACTCGTAAGTTTTACGATTTCGCATAAGCAACCCAGCTGCCGGTTTACAACTGAAAATTTCGCAGGATATTTTTTGCAATGTACATTTCGAATTAAAAGAGAGTATTTTTTAGCATGTTGTGCCTTTTAAATTTTAAAAGAAGTTGCGTTCCTTAAGATTTAAAACAATCACTTATAAACGATCTACGTGTTATCTTCTTAGGTAGACAACACTTAAATAAACAACTGATATTGGTGCCGCGTTATACCAAATTGTGTATAGAAGAAGTTGACAAAAACGTCAAAAATTTAATTTAAAATGTATTATTGCAAAAAAATCGAAATTTTACAAGAAACAAATGCATTTTGAAAGTACAAAAAAGTTATAAATTTCGGGAGAAATCTCTTGAATCATATGGTTAGTTTTTGATAAACAATTTTTGAAAACGTCACTTGCTTCCAGATCATACTTCAGAGTAAAACAGCTCGCGAAAAAGTCTGCTTGCTTAAAAAAGCTTGCATTTCACAAAAAAAAACGTCTTTAGCTATGACGTGTTTACGTAAAAATATATAGTTTTTTTTATATGTTTTAAGAGAAAATTCTTCCAATATATTGAAACTACTCTTTTTAAAGAAATGTAAACGATATGATGGAAGTGGAAGTATCTCGATCTGAAGGAGAATTAGCAGCAAGGAAAAGGCAAACAAGTTTAAGGAGAAAAGAATCGTTTACAAAAAAAGCTCCAAAAATGGTTATTCAAGTAAGATAATTTAGAAATTCATAAAACTTTTTGTTAGTAAGCTGTTAATTAACACTAAAAGAAAGCACATTTATGCTTCATAAATAGACATATAATAGTCTAATCTAATAACGAAAACTTTCTTTAAAGTTGAAACGCAGACTGAAAGTGGGAAACACAGAGATGCAGTAGAAAAGAGCAAATAAGTTACAATAAAGAAAAAAGTAAGATTGACTAATAGGGAGTGTGAACAAGATTGAACAAAACAAAAGAACAAGGAACAGAATACAGGAAAAGGTGTGGTTGAGTAAGGTGAGAATCACAGATGTTGCACGAAACTGAAAGAAAATAGATATCCATACTTCTTGAAAGATTGAGATCCTTATTTAAATAAAACTTCTTGTGACAGCTGATTTAAAAAAACAAAACAGATATGCCAAACTCATATTCTTTCTTTTGTATGATTATCTTGTTCGATGATGTATCCTCTACCCCACTAGCCATCTCCCCCTTTCCCTTGGTGTAACTCTTTTGTTAATTCATTCTGCATCCATGTGTTTCTTTCTTTCATCTTGTGCTTCAACACTGATGTATGTACTTCATTTCAGAACTGAAACTACACTATGTCTGTTTAAAAGACATTATTTGTTATTTTTCTGTGTTGTTCAGCTTTAATAATTTTCCATGTACAATGTTTACCCTTTTATTACTTAGAGTGTATTCCAGTTTTAAACTACATATAGAGTGTATATGTTTATTGAATGATCAAACCATGACATATTTTGAGATCTGAACAATTTCTTGATGTTTCTGAATATGTTGATACATTCTGTTAATGCATTCTAAAACTGTTACCTCAATTTCACTATAGTATGAATATATATATATATATATAGCATAATAAATAAATACAAAAAAACACGAAGAAAATTAAGAAAAACAATAAGTTACATTTATTNTTTTTTGGTTTTTAAAATTTTTTTATTATAAAATGGTGATTAAGAAGAAGTACAAATGAAAAAAAAGAAGGAAATTTGATCCTTTTTTATTAAATTTTACCTTAAACAAATTATCCTTTAATATATAGCTATATATAATATTTAAAAACACATTCCCAACAGACTCCAATTGAAGTGTTTCATTTTTGTAGTGAAAAAAGTGTTGTTTATAAAAACTAATGAGAAAATGGCTATTAGTTCTTGTTTAATTAATAAAGCTTGGTTTTGCCATTAATTAAGGTTTCATATATGAGAATGAAAAAATTCAATAAATATGCTTTGTTATAATAATTGATATTTGCAGGATTGCAATATTATGCTTTGGCGGCGAGAACGAGCCTTATTGAAAGTATTGTTATGTGAAGAAGATTTTTTAAACACAATCATCTTAGGAAATGAACGGTTTATATTTCCTTTAAGAGAAAAAACTACTCTTGCTACAAAAGCAGAATTGACTATTTTATTTGGAAATATTGAAGAGGTAAGCTTAATTAAATATTCACTTTATCCAAGTGAATTGTTATAATATAGTTACATTTACAAACTTATATTGTTACATTAATTACATTTGCTAACTTACATTGTTATATTAACTACATGTTAACAATGACATTTTTGACGTTAGAAATTACTTAGATTTTGTAAAAAAAAAATATTTCTCTGAATGAAGACACTAAAATTGTCTTAATATTGTCTCGAGAACTAAAACTGTCTTAATATTGTCTAATTGTCTCTAGAGATAATTAATAGGGATACTGGAATTGCGTTATTTTTTTAATTAATAACTATTCTGATATTGTGTAAATTTAGAGATGCACAACCTTTTTGAATGAAGGGCTACTTGCACAGAAGGTTGAATAACAAAGGGCCGCACACGTACTTAGACAAGCTAACGGCAAGGAACAAAATTTTTATCTAAACATAAGCACGAATTTTTTTTTAATCAGAAAACCTGGAATTTATCTGTAATATTTTCAGAAAATTAAATACTTTTAATTTTTAAAATACTTAGTTGTTAAAATTCAAAAATGAAAAAAACTTTTTTTTAAAAAAAAAAACTTCTTTTTTTTCCAAAAACTGATTTATTAAAAAAATTTAAAAATTGGATGAGAGAAATATTTTTTTTTGTAATATCAATATCACGTAGTACAAAAATGAATTTTAAAATAAATTTAAACTTTAAAAAAAACGTTATCTTCACGTAATGAAGTAATGAAAGCATAAAAAATCTATCTATATATATATATAAATTAGTTAAAGAAGGAAGTTAGTTTAGTTAAAGAAGTTAAAGAAAAAAGTTTAATGCGAAATTCGTTTAGGAAACCCGTAGAAAATGGCCATTTAGAGATGACGCTAACTTATTGTGCACTACTGACGGTAATATGTTCTACTGGTATTATGGTAATTGGTACAGTTTTGATAAGAATTCTACAACGAGTTTTCCGTAATTTCAGAAAATATTTTTTTCAGTTGTAAAGATAGTGTATTAATATTTTAATGGATTGGAATATAAAGAACTTTGTTTCTTTGCTAGTTATAAATACTTTAGTAAATTATGGGCCAGATAGAGAAATGGCCATTTCTCTATCTGGCCATGCTCCAAAAACATTATCAAGTTCTAATAAGAATTTTTTTTATTAAAAAGAATTTCGGCTTTAGTTGGCTGTCACTGACAAATATATTTTACATAAGACTTAAATGTTGAAGGGCTATGTAATGAGTACCATATTATGCTAATATATAGGTATAAAATATTATAATGATGTATTTGGTGATAATTAAAACAGAACCAATACTAAGCAGTTTAAATACCGATACTTCAGAAAGAAGTGTTTTACGGCCCCTCGAAAGGAATATGTACCCGAGAAAATTTGATAACTTTTAAATTTTGACTTATGGTTTGGCCGCGAGTAATAGCATCATACCAAGTGATGCTACATACATTTTATCATTATTCTAATGGGATGAACTACAAAAAACAAGTGTTACTTACTTAAATAAAAAGAAATTATTTTAGCTATATCAATTGAAAAACTTAGTGGAAGAAGCAGGTAAGTGACATTTTCAGAATGAAATAAAAGTTGTATTCCAGCAGTTATGAGAATGATTTCGTAGTGTTTCTCTACTCTGATTTATTGGTTCTTTACTTATTTTCTATTCACCCGGTGTGAAGAACAGGTATTCAGCTAGTAGATCAATAAATACAAATTTTGATGAGTAATATAAATTCAAATTAAATATTTTAATTGACGAAAATTTATATTCATGAATTTTAAGTAGGAAACGTTTTCTGTTTCGTTTTTTTACGTGTTTACACGTGTATTGTTATGATAAAATAAAGTTGGAAGATACTTGTTGGTAATAGTTCTAGTTGGAGTTGCTGACACAATCCTCTTTTAATCTGATTCGACCCTTATATTCACAACACTTGTTTAGCGCTTTAATTAAACAAATTGGCCCTGCAAAATAATCAGTCTCGAGAATGTCGATTGTTTTCCAGAAATTTTACACTCGTGGCAAAGATCACTCGTGGCAAATCTTCCTTCTTTCTTTAGCTAAAGCAAGAGTTGTTCATTATTTTTCTTGCGTCAATTATTGAAGATTTACTCAAAGAACGAGAAAAACGACTTCTATTTCTATTGACTGCTCCCTCATACAGAAATCAGAATAATCGCACAGAATCATCATACTTCATAAGTATTCTACTGTATAAACGGGAAATGATTTCGCATGTTGCCTATCAGCAATTGTGCTTATTTTATGTGTTTGAAATAATGCATTAAAATTAAAAAATATTAATTTTTTTAAGTGATTCAGTTTCTTATCCACCTCTGTATTTTAAATGCAAACCAAAAGTAATTATTAAATAATGCATTGCTCATAGATGACAAGTCTTAAATTTTCACGAAAGAAAAATTATTAAGACAGTTAATAATAAAACATACTGTGAAGAAATAATTAGCAAGCAAAGTTAATTATTTTTAAAGTTATACCATTTTTTTTAGTTTTTATTAATTAACACTAGGTTCACGGACGTTTCTTATATGCCTATCTCTACGAACACACGTCAATTTGACGCATAAACCAATACATCACTAGGTTTACAGACGTTTCTTATATACCTATCTCTACGAACACGCGTCAATTTGACGTATGAAAGAAAACATATAATTGTGATTCCTAATTTAATAAATTCAATTTAGTAGATTTTTATCCACCACTATTTCTAAATAATTCGTAGACTTATATAATTCATCACTTTATATTTTCAAAACTTACTTAGTTGTTATTTACCATTCTTTTAATTATTTTGGTGCGTCCGGAGCTGTTGTCATCTCTGCAATTAGAAACCAATGTAATTGTATACTATAAGAAAAAAATGAGGATATGAGATATATATTTATGAAATATTCTAGTATTTTATGCTTCAATACTCCAACTAAGCAACTGAAACCTTCAAAATCTGACACTCTGACATCAATTGACATTCTGCGTTTGTTCTTTCTATTATTGCTAATCAGCAACAGTTGTTTATCGCTTGTTTTGTTTGAGATAGCGACATAGGATAACAAATCGAAGTATTGTCGGTACATTCCTATTTATTATTGATGTGATAATTGCTTGTTTACTCAAAATTTTGTCTAAATTATGATCGCGTCAAATTGACGCATATCCTTAGAGATTGGTATACCACATAGAGACTTTCAATATTTCAACGCTTTTGAAGAAAATATCCTACAATATATATTTACCTCGATCAATGGTTAAAAGTCATTACAAGAGATAAAATAAGAATTCAAACCGGTTTTATAATTTTCCTTACAAAACTCGAAATTCGTCAAAATGACGCGTCCCGTAAACCTAGTGTTAAATTCAACCATTAGAATTATTGAAATAATGAAACACGAAATGTAAAAAACTTAGGCGCAACAAAAAATATTATCGAACCTCATACTGGAACAAGCCATGGAACAAAAAATCTGATAAACCGTAAATTTTACTGTAACAATTACAGCAAAAGTAGTGGATCATTTTAATTAAATAAATATTACTGTATGAATTACAGTGTAATACACTAGTGTAAGAAATTAAGAAAACTTGCAGATTTGGTCGATTATCTCTATCACTACAGGACCGATTTTTTTGAAATTTGATATGTACACACATTGATACAATACAAAACAAATAACCATTCAACAATTGTTATATACACGCATGTTCGTTCGCAACACTGGTTGGAGTCGGAAGGTATGAAATTGCCACAGGACAATTCAGGACAATTGCCACAGGAAATGATTAACTGCCCTATTTCAAGTATAAAATCACGTTGCAAGGCTTGAGTATCTGTAAGAGGGGATATCATACCCCCTATTAACCCATTTTTGCTGTTGTTCATTCTGCTACTGCTGTTTCATACCTTTCGACTCCAACTAGTGATACGCATGATCATGCGTGTATATTACAATTGTTGAATGGCTGTATTGTATCAATGTATTTATCAAATTTCATTTAGGTTCAGTAGTTCTAGTTGGTAGTTAGTATTCAATTCGGTTCAGTAGTTCTAGAGATAATCGACCAAGTCTGTAAATTCTCTTAATTTCTTACACTAGTGTATTTAACGGTAAAAAGAAGTTTTTCGAATTTTACTCTAACTTTATACCGTAATTTGATCCAGAATTTTTTTACATTGTACATAAGACTAATAGTACCCGACCTACCCCCGAAGGAGTTTGCGGATAAGGGTTTCCCCCGTTGTCACGTGAACTAAACACTACAAAACTACAGAAAAGTAAAATCAAAACTAAAAAGATTGATACACATAGGAAAAAATCCCAAAATCGAAAAGATGATAAAAATAAAACAGAATAAAAAATTAAAAGTGCCCAAAACATCAAAGTGAATAAAACTAACCAACAGTAAAAGTGTCAAAAATACAGGCAAAAACATATAAAAGCAGGGCTCGAAAAAACTCAGAAATTTTACCCGTCCCCGAGGACGGCTTGTCCAACAAAGAACCCGTCCTCCTTTGAAACTAACCCGTAGCTTCTAAATAAATAAAAATATAATTTTCTCTTATTTATTGCAAACATTTACATAATTGCACAATGAATTAGTAGTTACTCTGATTACATTATTCAGTAATAAAAGAATTAACGGGATTTCTAGATTAGAGAGTCATTTTAGAAGTGAGGCGCTAGGCTCTTGTAAGAAAACAAAAATTGAAAATGTATCACGAACATTAGCGGGAAAATGGCCATCCGGGAAGCACGACGTCGGATTCGAGAAATTTGTTGCCCGCGGGGAATTTTTGACCTCCGAAGACGGGAGGACGGGTGATTTTTCGAGCCCTGTATAAAAGTAAGATCAGGTAAAACATCAAATAGTAAAAATATGAAAAATCACATTAAATACAAATAAGACTAAAATAAGAATAGAATAATTAAAATAGTCGACTAAAAGTTCAAGTGTCCCCCATTCGAGGGTAAGTGCCTCTAAGATTAAAAATGTTCTTAGGTAAACCAAAGTTTCTCTAAAAAGGATAAACACTCAAAACATTGTACGTACATTACATTACATTGTACGTAAGTGTGAAACCGACTTAAAAATATATAAAGAATTACACGTCCCCCATTTATATAAAACACTATCATAAATGGCATTTTTTAAGGCGAGAAATCTATTACATTTCTTCGTGCTCACTGCTACATCAAGTTTATAAAATAAGTGAAATAACATTAGGCTTAGCTGACAAAGTCTACTCGGGTGAAAATTAATCTTGGGGTTTCCAGTTCACGTAGATACTTTATATTCATTACTTTGTTGTGTGTGTGTAGATCGTGACAAGCATATTTCTACAGGTCGAAGTGGTCTACGAGAAACATGTTCAACTATTCCGACAGCTGACACAAAGCAATGAAGATAACGTCGGCAGATTGTACCAGAAGCAGGTCTGATCATGCTTTATTTTTTGTGTACTTATATGTGTGGTAAAGGGTTGGAAGAGTGCTTCTGTGATAAAGAGGATTCAGTATTGAATTTTTTAAATTTTTAGAGGTTTTAGTACAATGTTTTTTTTTAGGGACAGAATTTCCCTTTATGTTTTATAAATTGCTGAATTTTATATCTATTGAGAAATAACATTTCAAATATTTATCTTATTCATTTTTAAAAATGTACAGTTTGGGGCATTGTTAAAGCTAAAATTTCAAAAAAACTCTAGAATTGTAAAATTCTCGAATTACTTTGATTTCAATTGACGCAATGGTTTTTTTGGGACAGAATTTTCATATATTTTACGAATTAGTGGCATTTATATCTTTTAAAGATAAAGCTTTTTAAATATTTATTTTTTTCCTTTTAATAAATTTACAAATTTGTAGCATTGTTAAAGCTAAATTTTTTTTAAAAAAAACTTTGGAATTATGAATTTTATGAACTAACTTAAAATTTTAGTACAAAAAAGCTGCATCCAGGAAAAGCTGCAATTTTTTTTATCCCTATAACTTTCTTGTTGGAATATTAGGCATTAGATTTAACTCACGTGCCATTAAAATCTTAGTAAAATAGATAAGACAGCTGAACGTCTGGGACAAACTAACACTTCGCAATTTTTTTTTAACTTGAACATTTGTTTCATGCGAAGGTATAAAATCTAACTTTTCACTTTAACTTCACTCTATGCTTTTCTTCAGATAATTTTATGCATTGACCACATATCCTCTATTATTTCACTCATAACTCAAAAGACAAATGAACTTTTAGGAAAAACTAGCAATTTTATTACCAGGCAAAATACCAGCATTTTTATTACCAGGAAGGCTTGGATACTAGACATTTTTTATTTTGCTGAAATTTTCAGGATATTTTCTTCAGGTAAAATTAATTCTTTTTGATAAACTTGGTGGTTAAAACTCTCTACAAGTTTGACTCTAGACTCTCTTGAAATATGAGAAAAAAACATCAATTTACAAGTGACAATACAATTTGTGAAACGAATGTATCACGACACTGACTATTATTTTATGTTTGAATACCTTTATACTTATTATTAAAACATGAATACTTGGAGTGGATCTTTGTTTTGAAGGTCAAAGGAGATTTAAAATTTTTTGAAAATAACTTATTTTCTTAGAACTTGACCGTCAAAATCCACTAGTACCAGCAGTGAACCACAAAGGCACTTTTTTCTGTGAATACATACCAATGAGTAGTATCTAAAAAATAAACATATGTGTTGTGTTTATACAATGAGATCTTTAATTTAACCTAAATTTATGAAGAAGTTAAAATTTTGCCCAATTGTCATAATTCCGTTTTAACCCAACTTTTTAAATAGAAGTGATACAAAAATTTGGTTTATAAAAAAGGTGGTATAACATATATTAAACTAAATGTCTATTTTTAACTATTAGCCACCATTTTATTTCAAGAAGTCCCAGCTTCTGATAGTTAGTTCTAGTTCTAACCCCAGAAAATCAAATCATTTATAAATTATGTAAGGAAAACTTTTAATTATCTTAGACAAATGACAAAACTGAAACAATTGCTTTATCACAATTTATGTTGAAGATTGGGTTGGCTGTTTGGTTGGGTTATTGGGTATTGGGGTGGGTAATTGGGTCTGCTGTTCAATAACACGGGTTACAAAGTAAAATATGCAGCACCCATATATTTATTTGTTCATACACTACTCATTAGTATATATTCACAGAAATCTGAACTTTTGCGGTTTAATTTGATACTAGTAGAGATTGACGTCCAAAATCTAAGATTATCAAGGAAACTAGCTAAAACCTGGAACAAAGAAGAAATAGATTTTTTGAATGAATTTTGACTTTCGATGCAAAGTTCCACTGAAAGTTTTTTGTCTTGATAGTTGGTATGAACGAGTAGAACATAAAAGAACAGTCAGTGCCATGATCCACTTGTTTCACAAAAAGTATTGCTATTTGTAAATTGATGTGATTTTCGCAAAATTTTGCGTAAGCTTCAGTTTTGACCCCAAAAACTTCGAGAAAATTTTTTTTTTCGCAAAAATAAAATAGTTTGATCCAAGGAACAAAACCTGAAATACTTATATATCATATATCAACTACTCTTATATATCAACTACACTTATAATATCAATATAACACTTATATATCAACGTAAGTCAACAAAATGATACAACAACACAATGAAATGTGGCCTTCTACAGGCATCTCTACATTTGGCAACTGCTCTTCGGTTGTTAACCCTAAAATTGCTTAAGTAAATCTTATCACAGTTGAATCATACTAAGGAGTGTCTGCAGCGAGATTTTTTCTCTATAGGCATTGCCAAGGAGGATTTTCTTACTCCATAGATCTTTATGCTTTCTTGCTAAATATTCAACCCATTTAATTCACCAGATTTTATTGAATTTACTAAATCAGGTTATTTAAATGTCATGCAAAGCTCTATATTGTATCTTTGTCCCGTGAACTTTAATTGAGTACATTAATTAAAACATTTGCAAACCCCTGCTTGCTATTGCTTAAATAATATCGATACCCATTATATTTTTTTGGTGAAAATAATTGTATATGCGCCATTATAGAACAACGTAGTTTTTTCCGCATGTAACAGTTACATGCCTACATACATATTCCTCTTCACTCCGAATCGGAGCATAGGGCTTCTATCATAGCTTTCCATCTCATTCTAATTGTGGCCCGATATTTTCCCTGCCTCCATGGTTTACCCATATGCAAAATGGGTGTTGCTTCGGGTTTGATGGCGTGAGCACCTTTTTTGGACGTCATCACACTTTTCAACTGTATTCAAGTGTAATAGTAAACAGTGCGAATGCGTCGTCCTTGCATGTGTTGTTATGGTCACCGCTGCTGTTTGATAATTTTTTTAGAATTTTTTTTTTCACTTTTAATTTTGTTATGCATTAGGTTGGTGAGTTTATTTTTGAGATATGGGACCAGAGAGTTCCCCCAAATACTTCTTGAGTTGTGAATAAAACAGAATTTCATCATTTGAACGATATTTTTGATTTTATTGTTTTAATTAAGAACCAGAAATTCTAACCTAGAGTTCAAACTGGGTAATTTTCAATACTAATTCAGGTGAATATCACAAATAAAGAGGGTAAAAAAAATTTAAAAAATTAGACAACAACCATTTTTCCAATGAGTAACCAGTGATCGCCTTTCGGCGATCATATTTTTTTAATGTATTTTAGCTATTGCTCTAAATAAGCAGTGCCATGCTTTTTACTTTTCTATTATAAATAACCATACCAGATCTTGAAAAAGAAATAATTGATATATTTTTGTTTATTTTATTTTCTACTTGTAGTAAACATGAAATTATAATTAGTAATTTTGTACGGAACTTTAAAACATGTTCAAATTAACGAAACGCAAATTGTCTAATGGCGTATAAAATTTTCCGAATACTAAGAAAATGAAATGTATTCCTTTTTCAAGCACACGATTTAAATTTCCCATTCTATCAAAGATTTAAATACAATTAACATTGAGTTTTCATATTTGTAAATTGAAAACATACACTGAATTTTTTTATTAAGAGTTTTTAATAGCATACTGCATTATTTACCATTGTTTTTAATTCATTTACAATCGTCTTGCACCCAGTATTTTTAGGTATTCCTCTTTTTTTATTTCCCTCAGGGTTTAATCAAAAACTTGTTTTACTTTAAATTTTTCAGGTATAACGTAACAGTTACATATACGTTAAATAACGTTGTTTTATGCTATTCAATTTTTTTTAAAGTAAACTATTAAATAAAGTTAATGCCTGTTTTTTTTGTAGGTATTAGAATTTCAGTTTTGTTCTGAATTATTTTTTAATGGAAAAACAACTGTTTTTTTTAAAGTTACTGTGCTTGTTTTTATGAATATTTATATACACAATATATTTTGAATTTCTTAAGAATATTGTGTTTTAATATGAATATATTTTTATGAATTTTTATGAATTATGAATCCATTTATTTCTATCTTTTGCTCCATGCAACAGATGAATGAAAGATTTTCTGTATTGAGGAAATATATATCTGGTTTGCCACTCGGAAAAATCATGTTAAAGTACAAATGCTTCAACAATCGCTTCAAAGATTTTATAGAAGTGAGTATTTAACTGCTTTAAAAAGTTGAAAAAAAATATTTCATCTAATAAGTAGTTTTTTCTTCCGATATAGTGAAATTACTTCGCCGTGTTTAGACACCATTAAACTTATATTATAATCACTACTAAAATTTTTCGCTATTGTGTCGCAGATAATTTGCTGGTCAGAAGTGTGTATAATAAATCTAGAATGCATATATGTAATGTCTTGAAATCATTCATTTGGTACTTATAAGTTGAGAGTTTTAAGCGGGTATTTTTTATTTTCATATCCTTGTGACGTTTTATCTTTTAAAATTATATATATATTTTTTCGCATAATAAGAATCCTTTTCTGCTTAAGAGCCCTCTTCAAATAATTATTGTTTTTGTAGTTCATTTACGTTGCACAAGAGCTGCACAATGGGCTATTGGCGACTGTCTGGGAAATATCCCTGAGGATGATCCGAAGACATGCCATCACAGTTTTTGATCCTCTGCAGAGAAGATGGCACCACTGCTTCGGCAGCCCGACGACCTGCACGCGAAGTCGAGCACTTTACGGTAGAACAGTTTAACGAGGACCAATACCGCACACCCTCGGTCCCTACGCAGACTGATCCAAGTGGACACCCACCCGCACATTGACCGCAGCCAGTGATGCTTGACTTCAGCCATCTGCTGGGAGCCGCGTCTTAGCAATCAGTCCTCTGCGGGACCCTCTTCAGATAAAAAAGGGCCTACCTCCGGTGATTTTCCCCTCGTCCCCCTACGGGGAGTTATATTAATTTTTAATCACTTATTAAATTACTATATAATATTTTAGAATATTTTTCAGCTTAATTTATTATTCGAAATCCGTTCTATTGAATCCACTTACCAAATTTTTAGCATTAAGGTTATACGTCTAAAGGTTATAAGGTTATACATTAAGGTTAAATCATACGTCGTAAGATCTTTTTAAAACTTTTTCAAAACTAAACATTAAAGATACTTATGTATGATCTTAAAACTTAGATTTTGATAGTTAATATCAATAGAGCACATTTTCTGTCTGACAATGAAAAAAATATATTAAAAAACGTTAATTAGTTAATTAATAAATGACGAAATTGCGTTATGTTAATTTTATTACGTTCGCAACCCGCAGTGAGCGGGTCGTTCAGAAACGATTCTCTGTAGAACACCGAAGTCAAGCATCATTGGCTGCTGTCAGTGTGCGGAGGGGGGTGACCATTTGGATCAGTCTGCGTAGGGACCGAGGGTTATTGGCCCTCGTTAAACTGTTCTACCGTAAAGTGCTTGACTTCGCGCGCAGGTCGTCTAGCTCCCGAAGTTGGGGGTACCATCCCCCTTGCAGAGGATCGAAATTTTGATGGTGTGTCTTCGGATCATCCTCAGGGATGTTTCCCAGACCGTCGCTAATAGCTCATTGTGAAGTTCTAGTACGGCGTAAATAAACTGCAACTACATCTTTGTGTTAGCAAAGAGGACGATTAAGAGGACTTCAAAATATGAAATGTATTTGCTGTGCTTAGGAAATCTTTCGGAATCGTTGGAAGAATGATATTTCTAATGGAAAAAAAGTAAATATAAAATAGTGACTTAAACTTTTGAGGAACGTTTTTTTTAAAGTTGAAGACGGGACATATAAAATACATTTCTTATTTCATTTGGGCCTCGTGAATGTACGTTATTTTGAATCTGATGTGTTCAGGCTCCTAGTTTCCAAAAAATATAATATATCTGAAGTGATTATTTTAGATATTAAAAAAACTTTAAAATTAACCATTTCAATTAGCAATAAAAACATTAATATTTTTATTGCTAATTGAAATGGTTTTACTTAGCAATAAAAATCTACTTTTTTAGTGATAAAATTGTCTTGAAAATTCAAATTCTTCTTTTTTTCTATTGAATTAAATAACTTTTAAGATAGTCGATTAAAATAAATTCTGTTATGCTTAATATAACTTGACATTTTATTTTTAACATAACCGAAAAGTGAAATTACTGGCAATTAAAAACACAAAAATATTATTGTTGAGAAATTAATGAGCTATTTCTACTGATTTCTTTTATCAATGTTGCGAAGATGTTGCTACTAGATAATATTTTAATTAACTTTTATCGATTGTAGAAAGAAAAACTAAATCAGAAAGTTCTTTTAAATAAATTAAATAAAGATTCAAATATGCCGTCCAATTTTTTAGCTATTATTAATTGAAAAGAGCTTAGCAAAAAATATTTTAATTAACTAATATATTTTGTAAGCAATTATATTGGTTTTTAGTAAAAAACATGTTTTGAAATAATTTGATTAGTTATCGATATGAAATAAGGAAAAACAGAGGTTATTAAACTTTCTCTAACTAGGCATATGTCAGAGTAAAATGCACAACATGCGGAATTTTTTGAAATAAATTAATACTTAATTAAATGTACCTTAAAATTATAATTAAGAATAAAACTTTTGTGATTTGAATAATTAGCTATAATAAGAAATAATAATGAATGCATATGTTATAAGCAGAAGCAAAGAGAGGAAATGTTCACTTATTAAAAACATGGTTTAATTTATAAAATTATTGAAGGAATAAAAGAGGATTATTATTCAAAAAAGAAAATTAAGTTACGGGGGAATATATTATTTTTTAACTATTAAAATAAAATGAATTTATTTTAATAGATGGTGAATATTTTAAAATAAGCTTTCAGAAGAAGTGTTATTTAAGACAGATAAATTTAAATCAGATATTAAAGTAGATTGTGTGCTTTTCAATTATATACTAGCACAATAAAATTATAGATAAGATGCTATATAAAAATTTCCAGATTAATGTAAAAAGTGCTGGCACCCTGGGTGTATCATCCGTAAAATTAATTTTTACCGTTAAATTTCTAACCGTCATTTTTACAGTAATATTTATTTAATTAGAGTGATTTGGTATTTTTATAGTAAATACTACTGAAAATTTAACGGTATATCAGATTCTGTGTTCCGCAAAATTTAGGATTAAAAACGGATTTTACTGCAAAAAGTACTGGCACCCTACGTGCCGGTACTTTTTGCTGCAATTTGATCCGGAATTTTTTACAATGTATCCAAGAAGTATTATAGATAAATTGGGAGCACCCGGCAAAAATTTTGTTACCTGACCGGTTCTGGAAAGCCGACAAAATTTTGATTCATTACCTATCTAGGTACACAGTAAAAAATTCAGGATCAAATTACGGAAAAAAAGTATTTACACACTGAGTGTTGTATCCGTAAAAATCATTTTAACATCTATTTTTGCCGTAAAATTTTTTATCATAATTTTTGAAGTAATATTTATTTAACTATGATGAGTCAGTGATTTTAGAATAAATATTACTATACATATTGCGGTGTATCAAATATTTTGTTCCGTAAAATTTTACGCTGAAAAGTACCGGCAACCTAAATACCTGTATTTTTTACCGTAATTTAATCCAGAATTTTTACTTTAATAAAACAATCAAAGTGAATTGAAAATTATTATCAAAAGTTATATAAATCTAAAATCACAATTGAAACTGTTTTTAATTTAACTTCTGCTGTTTTTATGAAAAAAAAGAGAATTAAATTAACAGTTAACACATTTTATACCTTGTAGGATGCAAAGAATTCTGCTGAACGAATTGAAATATTGCAATTTTTAGAGAAACCTTTGAAGGTATGAACCTATTTATTTTATAATTATTAAGTTTTTATTTTAAAATATTTTAATTTCATATCAGTTAAAATTATATTAACACTAATGTAGATGCAATTTTTTTTTATCAATAGCTAAATTTTTGTCTCATTTTATCTTAAAATGTTTTAATTTTGATTTCAATTTAAAGTGTTTTAATACTGAATTCAACTTAAAATGTTTTAATATTGCATTGAGAAAAAAAAGTATGGTCAAAACTACCAAAACAGGGAAAAATTTACCGTGTTCCTGGTTCTATGGGAACACCAAAGAGCACGGTAAACTTTACCAAAGTGCTTTGGTAATGATTTTGATAAAATTAGCGGTAAAACATGGTTTTATAATGAGCTACAAAATTTGGTATTGTGGAAAAATTTGTAATTTTTCAAAATTTGTTATTTGTATAATTTTATCAGAATAACTTAGAGCATGTAATAAAAACCATTTATTTGGTTGGAGTTACTTTTCAGTTTTGTAATTCTAACAATATCAGTAGTAATACGAACTGTAATTTGGAAAACCAGAATTTGCGTAAACCATTAACATACGAACTGAAAAATTACCAAATGAATGGTCTAAATACGGTATATTTTAGCTTTCTGAATCAGAATTAGGTTATTTATTTTTTTCTAAGAAATGCCATTACCATACAGTAAACTGATTTTGCCAGAATTTTTTTCTCCGTATTGCATTAGTTTCTATAATAGTGGTTTTGTTTTAGGTTTTTTTTTAAAATTTTTATTTCAGCTTAAAATGCTTTAATATTTATTAATAATTAGAATGTTTTGTTATTCAGGTCTTAGAATATTTGAGATTAGTTTAAATTCATGATTTTATTAATTTAAGTTCAGAATGTTTAAATATTATTTTAAATGTAAGCGATTGAAGTAGTTGTAAGTAAGTGAGTAAATTTAATTGCTCGTAAGTATTTTACGTGAAGTTGACTAAATATTTATCAAGCTTTTTCACTTTCTTATGCAATGCTTTTTACAGTATATTTCAGATTTGATTGCAACGCTTGCTGTTCTTCTATCTTGTACAGCAGTGGGGCACAGAGATTACGTGTGCTTGGAAAACGTAATTTCAGGTAAAGGATTTTAAAATTGTAGTCTGACAAATTATTGATTGCATTAAATAGAATTAATTACTGATTGAATTGTAGAAAAGCATATTTTTACAAAACTAGAAGGCTCAACTTCTTGCTCGCCAACCCCCGAAATTGCTTACATAGTTTATTAATGATCGCTTCTCTTGTATTTTCCGCCTTCATCTTAATGTCTCATCACCCAATTTATCTCCAAGTATCCACTTTATTATTCTTCAGCCATCATATTTGTCTCGTTTTTACTACTTATGTACTTTAATATCTTCGATACATTATACTGATTATATTAAAGGCTATATGGAGAAAAATTCAGGTAAAATTACCGTACTTCTATGATAATGGCATTTCTGGTTAAAAAAAACAACAATTTAATTATGGTAATCAAATCAAAATATACAGTACTTAAACCATTCATTTGGTAATTTTTCCGTTGGCATGTTAAAGGTTTATTGGAAATTATGGTTTACAAAATTACAGTTCTCATTATCACACATTTAGTAAAAAAATTGAAAAGTAAATTTAGCCAAATAAATAGTTTTTATGTTTCTCTTTTTGATATGATACAATTACTAAATTTTACTTTGTTTTCCACCAAATAGTATGGTAATAAGACCATATTTTATAGTAATATTACCAAAAGTCGTAACCAAAGCGCTCCGGTAAATATTACCGTGCATTTTGGTGTTTCCCTAAAGCCAGATACACGGTAAATTTTACCCATATTCTGGTAGTTTCGTGCACATTGTTTTTTTCCAAAGTAAATTTCATGCAGAAACTTATCACAAAATATAACAATTACAATGTTAGCTTAAATAAAGACAAGAGTATCTTTCATTGCAATTGCTAATTGAATGTTACAACTAACTATATTTAAAAATTTCACCAAATTTAGCATATTGTTTTTATTTAACAATACCAATTTTAACAACAATGTATTTAAATTTATCCTGGTAAGTTTTTCTCTTTACTTCGAAAAATCCATAAAACCGTGAATAGAAATTACTAAATTAACCCAGTTAGTTAACTGTAGCTTTGACTACATTGTTTTTTTCAATGTGAATATCATACATTAACTTATCATAAAATATAGCAATTACAATGCTTGTTGAAATAAAGACAAGAATTTCTTTCTTGCAATTGTTAATTGAGTGTTACAACTATACTTAATTTCTCCTACTTTAACATTTTGTTATTAGGAACAATGTATTTAAATTTACTGTGGTTAGCTTTTCTCTTTACTCCAAAAAAATCATAAGACCCTGAATAGAAATTACTAAATTAACCCAAAATTAATGCAAAATTTTAATAAAAGGAGATGTCTTGATATTTTTCAGACATGCAAAAGAAAAAAAAACACAGCTGCAGAAAAGTTATAATTTCCGTGCTAACTGAGTTTTCATTAAACTGAATAACGTAGCAAAGAAATAAAAAAACTATATAATAGAATAAAAATTATTTTAATACCAGAATAGTTCTTAAACATTTCTCTAGAAATATGCAGATATTTAATAGCAAGAATTTACTTTTTGTTTCATCTAATAGTAATCCCATTGTAAGAACTTACGAAATACGCAAAGGTGTGGGTTAGAAATTACGAATATATAGTAGCTGTTGAACCAAAGCTTCTTTCCATCTTTCGATTTCTCAAAACATAGCAAAATTTATTTTTATAAGAAATAGAATTTGATAAATTTCTTTAATGATACGTCAGTACATATTTCCATATGTTAATATATACGCATGTCACGTAGCAAAAAGAATTATGCTGAACCACTGTACTGTGTGGTAATGACATTCTGATAAAAAAAAAATTCAAGTTAATAAAACCAAAATATACGTATTTTAACAATTCATTTCGCAATTTTCATGATCATATTGCAACGAAATTTTCGAAATTATGGTTTTTAAAATAATAGTTCTTATTATCTCACTTTTAAAAAAAATTACAAAACTGAAAAGTAAATTTAACCAAATAAATGGTTTTCTTGCCATGCTCTGAATTATCATGAATTAACATGATGGAATTACTACCTTTTACCACATTTATCAAATTTTATCCATTATTTTTAAACCATATTTTATTGTAAATTTTATCAAATGGACTTTTTGGTGTTCTCTTAGAGCCAGAAACAGGTAAATTGCACTATATTTTGGCAGTTTTGACCAATACTTTTTTTCTCAGTGCATCAACTTATTAGACAGTATACAGTTGGTGCCTAATGCTAGGAATAAAAGAAATATTTTCGTAATAAGAAAAGTTTTAAAGCGCTCAAATAAAATAAAAAATTGGTTTCTACCTCTCAAAAATTACCGACGTTGATATTTAGAAAAAGAAACGGAGTTACCTTTATTTGAGTTAATATAGTTGTTATATAGGAACACCAGCATATTGATATCGATTTTTTGATGCATTTTTAAATTAAAGTTTACTTTATTAATCATAAAAGAAATATAGTTTATCGTAATTCATTTGCATGTTTTCTGCATAAAAACAACTCAATTTGAATCAATTTTTTAAAACTTGTGTCATATTTAATTAATTTATTATTTTTTTCCTTACTAATATAAAAAATATAAGCTCTAACGAAATATAATTGAATATACTTTGCAAATTAACTATAAAAATTAATTTATAAAAATTTATCTATGCATAATATGCAGGCTCAATTATTGAATTTGAAGAAGAATATTCTTTTCAAGTTTTTTATGTAATTTTACGTCATGTAATTATAAATAAAAAAAGCTTGTTAGTTCTTCTACGAAATCTTCTTTTTAATGATGGGAATTTAAAATGTCTTCTGATCTCAAACTTTAAATTTATACAGAAAAGGAACGTAACAGAAACAATGAAAAATTCCTAAATCTTTGTAAAATTTTCGAATTAAAAAAAGTAATTAAAAAGATCTTTTTTCAAATGCTGATTGAAATGTGTTGAAGATTCAGCTTGCGTTGCAATGGTTTTATTTTTTTCTCTCTTTTTAAAATAAAAACATGAGAAAAATTTTAAAAATTCGTGAACAACTAATAAAAACATATATGCGTGAAAGGATAGAAGTTCATATAACTTAAAGTAATCAAAGGTATAATGCCTTGCATTAGCTAATTTCGAAATCTTCCTTAGACTTATATTTTTTAGATAATTTTTAATTTCGATTGGCTCATGGAAAAGGTGAAAGGATAAATGCCGTTATATATACTAAGCCCAACGTGGGTTAAAGAAGGGATGTTATGGAATGCATTTTGTTTTGAAAGGAAAAATATTTGACACTAATTTTCGAAGTGATTTCCGTTAGAATAAAAAGAGGGGAACTAAACTTTAGTTACTATATTGGAATGAATGATTCAGTTCAAGCGTTCTAATATGGAATAAAATATGTGTTAGTCTACGCAATAAAATAAAACAATTAGAAAAAAAAGAGATATTATGCATTGGTTGTTATAACGGAATGATCGACCTCTCGGTAAGGGCCACCTGTCGTTC